GAATTTCGCCCGATGTATCCAGTTTTGTCTAACACTTGCAAACGGATGGATGATACCGAGCCGAACGGATGGTCGGAAAAATACGGGGAGCACGTCGAACTGACCGCTGCATTGGCCGATCGACAGCACAAAGAACCGGTCCGTCCAGCCGCTCCGCCGAGAGGGGCCGAACAGGGAGGGAGGCTGCCGCAGCAGGGGACGAACCGTTCAATATCTGCGGGGATGCAGCGCGCTGGGCCGACGGTCTAGCGATGAGCGAGGGGGATAGACGGCGGCGTGAGCTGTCCATAATCAGGCGAGAGGGCCCGTGTCGGCCGTTCGGACCGCTCCTCTCCCCGTACACTCTGCACCCACCCGTCCCCCTTAATTAAATTCTTTGTGACTCAGCGCTTAATTCTGCATTGTTGATTCATACTTCATTTGCATACGTAATGAGATCGCATTGTTAAGCATAACGCCCTAAAGCAGGCGAGTTTCTCCCAGACGCAGTGAGTCGGCGGAGCGCATAGAGGCGCATTTCGCATCCACCCGCCTGCGATTATTGGCGGTCCGCGCCAGTAATGAGATGGCATGCAATTGATAAGATGGAGGGGCGCACGATGGGAGGGGAATGGAAAATTATCATAATGCATTGACTAATGACGGCGGTGATTCGGCGGCCCGGACGCCGGCTGCAGCCCTCCCCGGCGGTGGAGGCAGCCGCGGCGGGGCGGCTTTGTCAGAGACGGGCCACCGTGCATGAGCGGAATTCTGGCCGCATAATGAGCTGGGTGTGAGCGGTGGCTGCTCTGCTCCGGCCGGTGCAGTGGACGGGGGCGGGACGGTCTGGGGAGCTGTGCGACCTGACCGGCGACCGGCGAAACGATACGACTACCGCAGCTGTCTACTGCTTACCGGTCCCGTCGAATTTATCGACCATACATGATTGTCCCGATGTGAAATAATGTTTGCTAGCCCATGGAACATATGCTGCATACCTAGTGCGAAAGTAATCAGAAGCTCTTATTTACGTGCATCTTAATGTTGATTAGGATTTATTCTGTCACGACACGAATGCCTTCTTTCAAGCCATCGCTGCAATATTTTTGGAAGCTCATAATGGCAACATATTTATAAAAGCTTTTTAATAGTTACATGCATGCTAAACTTTGGAGCTTGCTACAAACAAGAAAAACTTAAAACTGCACATCGTGCACCTTTCATTAACCCTCGCCCGCACATGGGGGGGGGGTGGTTGCCACCCCCCCCCCCCCCCAGGTAGTCTTTCTGCTCTGCACTCAACATTTTTAGAGCTAGAAGGCTGATTTTTCGAATAGCTGCTCCTCTATCCTTTCTTGAGGTCCACTGAAAATTTCAAGTTTCTGTGATTTTGGTTTCGGAGATATGACCTTGTTTTTCAGGTCATGTCATGACCCAAATGGCCAATTCTCAACATCTTGCGCCTGCCATGGGCCTTGTGAGCTTTTGACACCCTGATTTCGGCCTTTTTTGCCAGTCTTACCTCCCACCTATCATGGAACATGTTGTTCGACGATGTACAGGGGTCAAGGTCAGGGTCAAGGTCAACCTAGGTCATCTAAGATAATTGCGTTTTAGGCAAGCTGAATTTACTTTTTGTGAAGTTTTTTGACTGCATTTTTGGTAAAAGCTTCTCAGATCATGATTTCATGTAATATGGACCCAAAAACAATCGGTGCACACATCAGTATACACACAGACACACACAGACATACAAACACATATAATTGACCTTGACCTAACTTGACCTGAAATGACCTCAGCAGCAAAATTCTGGTCGGGTAGTGTGAAAAAGAGGTTCTAGCTGGCTTGGCACCAGAAAACAGCATCGTCATCGGTATTTGATAAGCAGCGCACTTGATGTCCAACGGTGACCCAAAACAGCAACATTTTTTAGTTTGACCTGACCTGGAAGGTCAATGACTGACCTGAGAAGGTAAAACTGGGTATCATTGGATTCGTCTCTTCCCAAAGAATCTTTTTGGTCTTTACCGCTAAGCTCTATCTCCAACAGGAACGAAATGGCGCGGGGGGTGGCAACCCCCCCCCCCCATGTGCATTCTAGGATGGGAAAATGGCATGTGCGGGCGAGGGTTAAAACGTACCTAATAGGCACACCGTTGATTTCTTATCACACACTTTTTATATCCCTTGCTTTATCGTCTCGTTGAAAGTTGGCCACTTACCGAACAGTGCCTAATGAATGCTGTAGTAAATTCGTTGTTTATGCACGTTATAGTTCAATTGTCACTGTTCACAACAATCGATAAGCCACCTCGGCACATACCCTTCACATTCAAAGCATCAATTTTAATTCCATCTGGTAGGTATTCGTGAAAGGACATTCGCGGAATGAGGCAGAAAAGACTAAAATCGTCAGAATAATTGTTTTAGCCTACCACAAGTGCTACTTTGATGACTTTATTCTTCTCTCCATGTGATACTGCGTGCATCTTATCAAATATGTAGGCATTTCTGAAACGTACACATCAGCAGAAGGATATATTCAATCCAAATCAAAAATAAATTCTCCTCGCCTCGCTCGACAAAAGTAAAACTACCAGTCATGGAACAGGCTGTTCCGACCGACCCTCGAGTTGCAGCGTCAGTGCCGGGTGGGAGACCAATTCTATCCCAGCCGGGCGCTCGGACAGTTAGTTCGGCGGCGGTCGGCGGGTCGAACAGTCGTGGTGGAGCGGCAGAATAGGGACGGTCGTCGGGCAGTGCTGAGGCGGCGACAGTGGTGCAGAAGTTGGCGGGCCGAGTGGATGTGGTAGCGGTAGTGTCAGTGCCTTATGTTGATATGCGTTAGTGATCGGCTTACATTGGTGTCTTCCGTCACCGCGGGACCAACCCAGCAGTTTGACGGTAACCGTCATTCGTCAGGTCACAGGTGCGTCCTGAATCGCTTATCACGCAATCCATATCACGTAGTTTGAAATAAGCAAAACCACCGTTTCTACTCTTAGAATGACTCGGGCTTACGACGAAGCGTCCTCAGCAGCAATTAAGATGTTCTAAATCTTAACCCGCGCCGTGCTGGTGGTCTGAACTTTCCGCCGAGTGCCTGGGGGGGGGGGGGGGCATTTTCACGCCACCACCCCCCGTCTAACTCGGCTCTTGTGCTACATAGCGACACGCGGTAATCGAAAGAGCGTCAGAAATTAGGAAGAAAACACCTCGGTCATTTTTAAGGTCAGGTCAAAGGTCAGGTCACCAGAGGTCATCGAAGGTCAAATTTTGTCGATTTCAACAATTTTGAAACACCTGATGGCTAAATCGGGAACCAATAGAGCTACAGCGCCGCCGAAAACCGCATTCGATAGAGCTATCGAACGCTCTTTCGCCAACGTGTCCTCAGATTTGACCTCAGATCAACGAGTAGCCTCCAGAGGGCAGAAACCCTAAAATAGCTCTTTCTCACGAAAAATGTTGTTGAGTAATAACTTGACTCAGCAGAGCCACGACATTTCTTTTGCCAGCATCGTGTTTACCTCGTCAAGACGCGTCAAATGAACTATAATTTGATCTTGAAAGGTCATTAAAAAATTTGACCTCAGGTCAAGGTCATTGCCTAGCCGGAAAGGGTCATGTTGCATATCAATCAGTCGACCCGTGTTGTCGAGCCGAGCACATCTGACGTGTTTTCACCCCTCTAGCACCTCTCTGTCAAAAGGTATAGTTAAAAAAACTGCTGAAGACCTTTCATGACCTGAGATGACCTCAGGGGCACACACAGGGGTCACAGGTGCAATTTACCGATTCACTGAGTCATGTTTACCTATGAACCGATGCTTGAGAGGGCTTAGAACGACATTTGTCCAAAAGAGGCAAATGTCGTTCTAAGCCCTCTCAAACATCGGTTCATAGGTAAACATGAAAGGGGGGCTTAGGGCTTAGAACGACATTTGTCCAAAAGAGGCGCATTTCAATTTTCTCCCATTGACTTATAATGGAGAGATCGCAAAATTGACCTGACCTTAGGTCACAGATAAGAAATCGAGATATACAGTTTATACAAACTGTTTTCTTACCAATCGATTTACGTTTTCAAAGTGATCGTTAAGTTGGTGTAGCTACAGCGAACCTTCGAACTTTTTCTAAGGTAAGGTCACTTAACGTGACCTAGTGACCAGACCTTGAATGACCGGGGCCTGACATTTTCACAACATATGCGGAAAATATGTAGAAACAAGTGTACCAAAAACGGCGGTGCTACGCGCCGCCATCTTTGAGATATTTGCGAAATACCTGACGGGGGTGTGTGTAAAAACGCCCCCCCTAGCCCAGCACGGGTTAATTTGTGCTGTGCTCTGTATAAATAGGTAATCATCGACTATTGAACCGAAGAGGGCGCTCACCTGTTCTTATTCTGCTAAAATGAATGATGTCAAACGGACATAAGCATGAAAAATAATCATTGTCAGTGGCGGATCCAGGAGGGGGGGGGGCAAAATGGGCATTTGCCCCCCTCCCCCCAAACGGCATGATTTTGACATTACGCCTATGGACGATGCATGGAAAGAATCGATAAATTGTTGTGGTTTGCCCCCCCCCCAAACTCTGAGCTGGATGCGCCTCTGATTATTGTCATCAGGTAATCTTGTGGGACAGTCTGTGCCGCCGGGTGACCGCTATGTCAACGTCTGCGTCGACAGGAGTGTTTGGTAATGTTGACGGTCGACGGTGCCCGGCAGACGGGACAGATGCACGAGCGAACGGAACAGGAAACAATAGTAGCCCAGACTGGTGAGTTCATCGGGGAGTATGCAAACGCAATACACTCGTGCCACCACATATGATAGGATGAAACTATTTCAAACGGCGTGGAAGAACAGTCCAGATTTTCAGGTATTTTACCTATCCATTATCTAAATGAGCTAATGCGCCTCCTGTCTCTGACAGAACCCTCAGAAAGACGGACAGAGCAAAACGGTCACAGACCTTCGTCAGAGGCATCGACAGCCCTGCCGACCGGCCGTCTTCCTTCGTCGGAAGGGCCCATGTCCCTGCCGACTGACCGCCTGCCCTCGTTGGAGGGAGAGAAGGGGCGGATACCGTCGGTAGAAGGACCTGCCCCGTTGATCGGCCGTCTGGCCTCGCTGGAGGGGGCGCCACTGCGCGGGGACCCGTCCGTACCACAGCTGGTGCTCACCAGTGGCCAGATGGCGCCAGGCATCCAGGGTGCTCAGCTCATCATACCCACAGCGCAAGGTAGGCATGACGGTACAAACTAAATAGTAATAACGAACATACTATGATAAATATTTATCGTTTACGATTCCAAATGTCTGTCTTCTCGTTCTCTGCGTGTCTGAAATGGATATTGGATAGGAATGATAGGATGAATAATGAATATAATATTGGTTTCCCAGCCAGCAATTCACTTGGGCTGAACTGTGGCAAACGTCGGGCAGCTTAGGCTTAGCTTGGGTTTGCCCACTTTGATCAAAACCAATGTATTTTTACTAGGGCTGAGCTTGGGCATGCCGCAGCTATGCCCACGTGCGGATAGCAGTAGCTCAGCCCGACATCTGCCCGCGCATCCAAAACAGGCTTAACTTGGGCGGAGCGCGGGCTGATCAAGCTGGCTGTGTCCTTCGGCTAACTGGAGTAAAGCCGGAGTTTAGCCATACTTGTTCGGCTGTTCGCGCATGGGCAGTTCTGCGCCAATCATGTGCAGCGTTTGTGACAGTCTGCGCGCTGTGCGACGAAACGACACACCGGTGTTGGGGCATTTGGTGGTTGATGTTTGGGCGCGTGTGACAGCGCGAAGAAGGGATAGTGCTCATTGCTCTTATCAAGTGGACTGGCATGGAGTTTTACGGTAGGTAATTGTATTGAATGGTGCGCTTGATCGTATGTAAACGTCATTATTTTGACTGAGTTTCACGCCATCAACACTGAAGCTGAATAGCTGTTCAGCCTGGCGACTTATATGCTCGCAATGTAAATTAAACCAATTAATCTCTTTTTCAGGTACGTACCATTAGAGCAAATGGTTCCAAAAAATGGAATAGTTATACAAACCAGGACCGGGTGGACGCCGCTGTCGCCCTCGCCAAGTGGTTTAGCGGAAACTGCCTGCTTATAATTAAGTAGGTATACCTACATATACGGAATGTGCGCCGAAAGCTGGCCGACCACCTACTGCAGATGTGTGTGTGTGGAGGAGCCAGACGCCTCCAAAGCTCCCATTCACCAGAGTGAAGTTTTTTTTATAAACGATTGTATGCTAATTGCTTTATGTCTTATGAGCGATTTCTTGCTGTCCTTACTTTATGCTTTCGGTTAAGTGTTCAACCAAGTATTATGAACGCCGAACGGGGAGGAAGGCTAGCGGGTCTTGTGATTGATTTATAGTTTTGATGGCGCGTTTTCATGACTCATGCCATATTATTGCTGCAGTTTGCAGTCCACTGTTTCATGTATTTGTGTTTCATTTGACGTGTCTGTAGTCGTTTGAAATAAACATTAAATCAAAGTCAACCACTACTTTCCTTTCGCAATGCTCGATGACCGGTTAACAGAGCATATGAGTGACCGTAGCAATTTTAAATATGCATTAAAACCACACAACCTGCTGAAAGTGCATTGGCTGCTCCTTGCTACTTGATCCAGTGTGAAGTAAAAGCAAGATGAAGTCAAGTCGAGACTTGAGAAAACAGGAGCCGTCACTCGAGCCGAACCCGAGCAAAGCCACAGCAGTTTGCAATGTATAAACCTCATTCACTTCTATGGCTTAAGTCGGGATAGACAGGGCACACAGAGTGGGCTTGCCGGAGTTCAGCCCGCTCGGGCCCAGAGTAATCTCCATTATATAAATGGATTCACTGCTCGGGCTTAAATCGGACTAACGCCAATCGTCGCTCAACTAGGGCTAAACTACGGCTGCCCGGAGCTCGCAGAGCGGGCATACCTCCGGCAGAGCATGGGCTTTAGTCGGCGTTTCTGTGTCATACGCCGACTTTAGCCCAAGCCCTAGCCGACTTTAGCCCGACTAAAAATCTCGGGCAATCCGCACTTGAGCCTGCTTGGGCCCGGAGCAAAATTGCTGGCTGGGTTGGTGATGGTGGAGCTGGGGGAGCTCTCTAGCCATCACATACCTACAATAAAAAACAACCGTAATTATTACGCATGGCGTCTATCAGGCGCAAATTCGGACTCTGAATTGTCTGTCCCTCACGTGTAACGCGGTCTCACTCACGTATGGTTCGATATGCGTCTCGTCAGGTGTCACAGTGCAGCCCATCATCGCGATCCCGGCCGCCCTGGTGGCTGGCGGGCTGGCCCAGCTGTGTCTGAGCGCAGGACACGTGCTGGCTGCCACCCCGGCCAACCTGCAGGCCCTGGCTGCCTCTGCAGGCATGGAGCCGGCGCCGCTGTCCCGGTCTGAACCTCAGCCTCCAGCTCACATCACCAGGGTTAGCACGTTTTATGCACAGTCACGTTTATACGGTTCATTTAGGCGGCAGTGCATGCATTACATACAGAGGAGAAAATAAGCGCTTTGTCGTTTCGTCCGTTATAGTGTAAACGGTGCTAATTCAGTAAGTGTTCGATATCGAACGTATCTTGCCATCATTTTTTCGTTTAAGAATTGACATTTTGGATGAATGAGAAAATGTCTTGCAAATAGCGATTAACTGTCGTAGCACTGCACATTTTGACGCTATGCGCATATGTTACGCATTACCATTAGGTACATACAAGACAGCCGTGACACCTGACCGGTCTGCAGTGCCTGACTGCAGAGATTTCATTTCAGTGTGGTCAGGGGGCGGCGGATCCCCCTCCCGTATCCTCGGCGGCCGTCCAGTCGGGTCGCCCCAGGAGCAGCCCAGCCGCAGTGGACTCACGGTCCGTTCACATCGGGGGTGACCTGGCGCTCACTGGCCGAGCCGCCCCTCACCCCACCAGCCCGGCAGGCGTGCACTCGCCAGAGTCGCTCACTGAGGACGACAGTAAGTGTACCGGCAAAGGTCAGCCTGTTAGAACTCAGAACCCAGAGGAACTCGGTGCAATTAAAATCTTGATATTCAATATGCGGACTATTTCTCGGTTTTGCGAGAAAGAGAGAATACGGTAACTTCTTTAGGCTAGGAATTATGCTTTAAAATAACACATCAGATGACTCAGTTCAAAGGAACTCATGGTTAGCGTCATGGTGCAGGGCGGCTACGCTCTCTCCCCTGTGACCGAGCCGTCTCCGTCCTGCCCGGCAGACGAGCCTACCGTTCGGCAGGCGACCGGCGCCGATGTGGACGGGGTCGACCTCCAACAGGTGAAGGAGTTCGCTCGCGTCTTCAAGATGCGCCGTCTCAGCCTCGGACTGACGCAGACTCAGGTAAGCACAATTATATTTTGGAGGCTGAAAGTGTCCAGCGCCGTTGTAAGGAAATGACTTGCTCCCACCGTATCAAATTATTAAACAAGAGGTAAAATTCAGGAAATTTTAACTCCGATTGCTTCTAGTGACCTAGGCCATAGCGATCTAAACAAACGCCGCTTTTCGCTTGACCATGTGACCTGGCCTGACTCTTTTCTCGCTGTCAGGTGGGGCAGGCACTAAGCGTCAGCATGGGTCCCGCTTACAGCCAATCGGCCATCTGCAGGTGGGAACGAAAGCCGCTGTAAAACCAGCACACATCAGCAATTCTTGCGTGGATAACTAGCCTCATGGAGCTATTTGTATGCATGTTGTAGATCTGTGTTAAAAAAAAAACATTTTTTGCGTTTATTTTCAAACTGATCAAACTTGAGCAGTATAAACCGAAGAGTGTTGCAGGAAAATAAATTACTAATATTCACATTGACAAGGAAGGTTCTGTATTGACGGCATTCGTGCATTCCATTTCAGGTTTGAGAATCTGGACATAACGCCAAAAAGTGCTCAGAAGATCAAACCGATCCTTGAAAAGTGGCTACAGGAAGCAGAAGCAATGTACAGGTAAAACGACCTAAAATTACATAACAGTATATGGTTACGACACATGAACGATGCCTCGATGAACACTGTCTCCCACCCATGACCCGATAATTTGATTTATTTCGCCTCGTCTTTTGACCAAAATATCCCTCTCAATTTATGTGTGGTTTATCGTCGTTAGTGCATCGTTTAATATTAATAATTTATGTGGGTATTTAATTGATTAGGCGCCTTGTATTTTTCAAATGAACTCATTTTGTCGAATGTATTTAAAAATAACTTATATAAACTGACTTTTTAACATTCGAAGTAAGCGAATCTCTGTGTCTCTACAGACAGAAGATGTGTGTTCAGAAGATGGGGAACATCACCGGCATTCCGCCACTGAAGAAACGGAAACGACGAACCTCATTCACACCGCAGGCGCTGGAAGCACTGAACGCTCACTTCGCGAGAAACACGCATCCAACCGGTACGTGTGGCAGCAGAAAAGCTTATCTGCGTCGAAAATGTTGGCTATAATTCGCGCAACTAAGTGTGTGTTAACCGTTTATTTATTCCAGCAGAACTCCGAATTAATTTCGTGATCAAACTTCATCTAAGGGATTTTCAACTGAGCACGAGCATAACGTTTGTCGACTCGCATGTAATTATTGTTCTCCGTCGACAGGACACGAGATCACCCATCTGGCCAGCCGCCTCGGCTATGAGCGCGAGGTGGTACGCATCTGGTTCTGCAACAAGCGGCAGGCGCTGAAGAGCACAGTGCGTCTGGTGACTGGTCGAACGGGGCGCGGCTCCCCGCCCGGCGCAGGTCGGGAGGAGCCCCGGAGGCCGCTCACGGAGCCCGGACAGCCGCGATCACCCGACAGCTGAGGCTGGAGGGACCATCACCAATTCACCACAGGACAGCAATGTTAGCAGCACGTGGGACCATTCTATAGACAAAGATATAACTCGCGTACCCATACGCAATTTATACCAATAACCAATGGTCATATTGTGCAGCATACGGCCAGCGCAGCTGTGACAGAGCAGCGACTCTTAAGTCTTTACTTCCTGTACAACGAGGTGTGTCAACAGCAATCAGCTACAGTTTGTCTATCTAGGGGGATGCCGTCCTCCAGCAGTAGCGCCCGCGGAACCCAGCCTTCTGTCTGTGCCGTGAGGTCCCAAGTTCGCTATGGACTATGCCGAGCACGGACTCTGTGTTCCTCATTGCGTCTGTAGGTATTTCATCCAGTGTCTGCTCATTCGGGGTGTCTGTGCTAATGTTTCCATTAATTGTGTCGCATGTGTCATTCATTGCCATACTTGACTTTTTATAGATCGTCATATCATGCGTTTTGTACCTTTTAGTGGGCCTATCTCGTCCCATGAGTTGTGTGCCATACCTACGTTTCATGTGTCTGATGTGAACAAATGCCCGATGCCCCTATGTACAGGGTGTCCACGTCAAAAGTGTACCCAGACTTTTCTCCATATTTTATCTTAAAAACATCACACTCACGAACAATTGCCCTCGTTTGAGAGCCAGGGCAATGGCAAAACATTTGCTATGCTTTTCAACTATGCTCAGTACTTTGCTGACCAGCGCGTGCCATCTAGAGCAACTGCTCTATATGAGTCCCTTTTCGTCGGGCCACCGCCGGCAGACGGACCGTCTGGAGGTGGGTGATCGCCTGGTCAACCATGTGGGAAGGAAGGCGACGGATCTCGTCGCTGATGACGTCTTTCAGCTCCTGGGTCGACCCTGGATTGCCCAAGATGCACAAGTCCTTGAGAAAGCCCCACAAAAAGAAATCTAGAGGGTTGAGGTCGGGCGAGTGGGGAGCCCATTCCACCGCGCTTTTCAAGCTATTGTGGCAGTCAGGAAAGTGCTCCTCCAGGAATTCCAGCGACCGTTTGGCGGTGTGAGGCGGCGCCCCGTCCTGTTGAAACCATTCTTCATGGCGACGGATCCCGCGTCTCCGCTTCAGCTCTCGCCAGAATGGTTCCAGTGCCTCCGAGGCGTAGCGTTCTAGCGTTACGATGTTGTGTTTGTCTCTCCCCTGTCGTCTTCGAAAAAGAAGGGGCCGATAATTCCCCCTCCATGCCTCATTGCCACCCAAACCGATACTTTCTTGCTGTGCAGAGGCATGGTCTGAACTTTTTCTAGGCAATGGGATCCCCAGTGCACGGGGCATTGTGGGATTTCACATGCCACGGTCCGTCTGCCGGCGGTGGCCCGACGCAAAGGGGCTCATATAGAGCAGTTGCTCTAGACGGCATGCGCTGGTCATCAGAGTGCCGAGCACAGTTGAAAAGCATAGCAAATGTTTTGCCATTGCCTTGGCTCTCAAATGAGGGCAATTGTTTGTGAGTGTGATGTTTTTAAGATAAAGTACGGAGAAAAGTCTGGGTACACTTTTGACGTGGACACCCGGTAATATAGGTACGTAGGTGCTGGTTTAGAAAATGTAATGCAAGCAATAGACTGTAACAATGCTTTGCAGGTGTATTTTGTATAATGGATATCGTCTTGCAATAAAATGCAATGGCTTTGAATCCGTTCTTAAGGAATATGTTTGACGACGCACGTACCTATTTACTGGGCGTATTTGGAATTTCTGACCTCGACGAGCGTCAGTGGTAGAAAACCACCACTTTGGTAGGGGAAACTACTGTTGTCTGCTACAATTTGCACTGCATGTCAAGCTATTGTAGCGACATCTATGCATATACATTTCCGACCTCTACGAAAATCTTGCGGCGCTTCGCGCCGACCCGCGCCGCCCATTCATACTGGATGGAGACCAAAAGAGATTATGAGTTCAGAGTTGTGACATTCTAAAGCAACCACCACGTATGATGTATACATTAACAGTTAACTATCAGATTGACGGCATGTGTCAACAATTATACCTACCCTGATAGAAGACCGGAGGCTCTGGTTACCCGTGTAAAAATGAATACTTCAGATGCATGCCGCGTAGGAATTCAGCCCAGTATCGTTGAACAGATAATGCATCGGCCGAAAAAGTACGGTAGGTAACTATACCTAATTTTGGGTTTTTAATCGGCCGATCCGTTCCCCCTGTCGAAAATCTGTGGCGACACCCCTGGCACATAAGACAAAAGTACGTATCGTCAGTGGCGGATCCAGCTGGGGGGGGGGGGGCCAAATGGGCATTTGCCCCCCCAAACGGCATGATTTTAACATTACGCCTATGGACGATGCATGGAAAGAATCGATAATTTTTTATGGTTTGCCCCCCCCCCAAAAAAACCTCTGAGCTGGATCCGCCTCTGCGTATCGTAAATGTTCGTACAGTATAAAGTACGCACTACGCATGGACAAAACTACGTCAAGGACAAAAGTACGCATGGCAAAAGTACGTACAACTACAGACTACAGTATAAAGCACGAATGGATAAAAGTACGTCAAGGACAAAAGTACGTATCGAAGAAGTAGGGGAGAGTGGGGCTATTTGTTACAGGGGTATGTTGTTACAAAGCAAATATCATTGAAGTTAGTTCATTGAATAGGTTGGCCGCTAAGTGCAGAAAACCAAAAAGTGTAACGCAAGCCCCACTCTCCCCTATTGGCGCGATATCAAGAGCATTTTCAAAGATATTTGCTTTGTAACAACTTACCCCTGTAACAAATAGTCCCACTCTCCCCTACGTATAGGTGGATTATTAAGTACGCTGGACAAAAGTACCTACCTACGTCAAGGACAAAAGCACATATCGTAAAAGTGCGTACAGCATAAAGTACGTATGGATAAGAGTACGTCAAGGGCAAAAGTACGTATCGCAAAAGTACGTCGAGTATAAAGTACGTATGGAATAAGTACGTCAAGGACAGAAGTAGGCGTATCGCAGAGGTAGGTACGTACCTACAGTACAAAGTACGTATACCTAGAAAAAAAGTACGTCAAAGAAGAACATACGCATCGAAAAAGTACGTAAATTATAAAGTACGTATATCGCTAAGGTAGGTACGTACCCTTGCTGACTTGCGTAGATGTCGCAATCGGTCGCAACTACAGCGAGACATGCTGATGCAGTGCAAACGGTAGCAGACAGCAGTAGTTTCCCCTACCAAAGTGGTGGTTTTCTACCACAGATGCTCGTCGAGGTCGGAAATTCCAAATACGCATTTACTGGATGGATGTGTAGATTGAAACATTGTGCAAATTCCCGCATTTTTAAATAGGTATTCCATCTTCCCTTCTATAGCTATATTACCTAAGTGCGCTAAAAGTAATGCCGTCCATAGAGACGTGGCTAATTGCCCCACATGATCGGGAAAGTCGAGTTCGCAACATCCACGTAACATTAGTGTTGATTCACAACATGTGGACTTTCCTTTTCTGATACTGTTCCGGTCGGGGTACCAAGACGGTTCTCCGATAAACAGTTCGGGCCTCATGACTCGAACGTCAAACTCACGACGATCAACACGATCACTTAGCACCACCCGGCTTCCCAATTTGCGGCCGGGCGCAAACAAACAGTGCTACCCCGGTCAGAAACTGGGTGGAGTCGTGCATTCCACACTGCTCCCCGCGCGCTGTTGCATTATAACGGCTCGCGGCCAGTCTCCCCAGCGTTTCCTTTATCGCCGCTGCCGGCGCTGACGCCCGGCCGGCTTTCTTAGTTCCGCTGTGGCCGACCCGTGGCGCTAGTGTAGGGCAGCCAATCCTCGCCGGTCGCCAGTCTGGCCGGTGAACGTAAAGGTGGGAGTGTTCTGTGATTCGGGGTCGACTGCAGCGGGCGGTGGGGCGACCGGGCGTCGCGACCGCCTCGAGCTCAGTGACACAGTGCACGATGAGTGGCAAAGTGGACGAGAATGGTGGCCGGTTAGACGAGTCCCCGGAGCGGGACGCCATGCTGGACGGCGCAGAGCCCCGCAAACGGTCACCGGGCCGGCTGTCGCGCGCCACGGACGCGCTGGGCCTGCCGTGCCGCTGGGCGGTGGTGCTGGTGGTGCTGGTGATGCTGGTGCTCGTGCTGCTGGCGGCAGTGATCGCGCTGGCGGCGAGCTGGCCGTCTGCCCCGGTGGAGAAGCCCGTCAGCCGCTGTGAGTCGGTTCACTGCCTGAGCGCCGCCGCGCAGGTGAGTGACGCGGCCGGCTATCGCGGCGTGCCCAGCTATCGCCGTGTGGACCGGTGGCGGGTGACGTCACGGGCCGTGCCGTCACCGGGCGACCGGTGCCGCTCTCACCGGCCGGGCCCCTCAGGTGCCGGCGCCCGCGCCCGCGCCGCCTGGAACGTGCACTACACACGTGCCACCCGCCGTGCGCCGCCGACCGCCACCAGAGACGGCAGGGGCCTTGGCAAGGTCTTAGCATTCCCGGTCAGATGTTCGGCTCTGAAATGGTCTCGTCAGCCCAAAACGACCTAAGCCAAATGAAGGATCTTATGTACATATGTAATTATGACGATGTTCGACTGCTTTGTTTGAAATTTACACTTTCGGATGTCTTAAAAGTAAAAGGTAGGCATTTGCTTTAGCACGTCTAGTGTCGACTCACCGTTGCCCAGCCAATAAGAGATTTCAGTAGATACACATTTCGGAAACGTAACTAATTTCTCACAAGTCGGCCCGGATAGGGTACCTACCTAGAGCGAGCACGGTACCTAGTGGTACGATAGGCAAGGCATAGGCCCGTAATCGTTCTGCTTTCGGTCAGCGACAAATGTCCAATTAAATATCAAAGTTCAAAAAGACTACTTCGCTTGGCCTCCTATTCCCTAGCACGCAGTAGGTACGACATAAATTTTACTGGAGCAATATCGGAAATATCACGAACCCGCGCTGACAAAACAAATGAACTGATCTCCCTTATTTGGCTTATTATGTGAGCATTGTGATCACCGCAACTTAATTGTATCGTGCTTCGTATTTTTTGTTGGTAAGGCAAGTCCCAAGATAGTCCCCTTTGGTCTAATCTAATCAGCAAAGCAATAAGACAATTTTAGTGCCACGGGACAATTTCAGAGCCATGGGATAGGGGAGAGCGGGGCCAGTTGAAACACGGGGTCAGATGAAACATGGCTTTATTTTCAACAGTATGCAACATATGGCGTTGCCGACACCACTGCGCATCCACGCTCGACCACTTCCTTTGTCATCGGCGTTTGGGCGGCAAACGGACGGTAATTTTGATTTGACACTTGTTTTTGTGTTTTTGAGGGGCGTTTGGGAGAAATCGCTTTTATGAATATTTTGTGATATCTCATATACCTTTGTTTGCTGAAAGAAGAACTCCTGGCTCCGGAATAACACCTTATTTGGCCCTTCATTCAGCATGATGCCGTCCCTCCAGCTCGTTTGACATGTGCTTTACGGCGCGTGCGAGATGGCGGGAGCGGATGGGGTCAATTGAAACGCTTCTCTGAGGGTCAGTTGAAACAGGGCCACAGGCCGTTTCAATGGACCCCGGTGACCTTTGCAATGGTTATTGTTCAGGGGCTGTAAACATTAAAGGAAATAATCCACCTTTGAAATGAGCTTTTAAACTGAAATAGTAGTTCAATAGAGCTCAATTTTTGACCCCTTTTTCTCCAGCCTTTTGCTTGAAAGCACACTATAGCCTGAGATATTTCTCATTTTCCTCATCCGCCCATTTTACCATAGTCTATGCACTTTATGTCACCTATTATGAGGAACTTTGCACTTTTAGCTTTCCAACGACCTATTGAATGTAGCATTTGGAAAAGTAAACCGGACAAAATATCTCCTTAAGAAAGTGGCCTTAAAGAGGAAAACATCCCATTGTTAAGGATAGGTGCAATTGACCCCATGGGCTGGTTCAATTGACCCTCGCATCGGGGTCATTTGAAACGGGCGTAGAGCTGTTTTATAAGCATGCGTTTGGCAGCAAAATATGTTTGAAACATAATTTTACATATCTTAACCCTCGCCGGACCTATTGGTTTTCTACATACGCGCCGGCCGAGGGGGGGGGGGGGGGCGGGTACGACCCCCCCCTCGCCGTTTCGCCCCTGGTGGAGCTAGCGCGTCGCGGAAAAAACGAGCGTGTGCGCCGTTACGAGACGCAGAGATTGGTACCCGATTTTAAGGTCCTAGGTCAACCGGTGACCTCTGAGGTCAGGTCAAGTGCCCCAAGGTACGGTTCAGTTTTTGGTGAATAACTTCGCAAAAAACGGCCGCAGAGCGCCGATTTTGGCAGCATCGTGTTCGTCTCGCTCAGGCGCGTCGAATGATATACTTTTTGTCCGGGTCAGGTCAACTTGGGGTGTTGACCTCAGGTCAAGGTCAGGTCAGCACCCCCAGGTCACGAAGCTGGTCGAAAGAGGTCATGTCGCATATCATTCGATTCGGCAGGTCTTCCTGAGTCCATTGGAGGCTTTCCCGACTCGCTAGCTCAATTTGATCAAGAGTTATTGACGAAAAACTAATATGACCTTGATGACGTCATAAATGACGTCACGCAAGGTCAACATTGCAAAAGTGACGCATCTAACCTTGCAAGGAGTGCATCAAATCACGATTCTGTGTGCTTGAGATAGTTGGAGATCGTTCCCGGCGCCAGAATAGCAGTTTGAATTTTTCCCCATTGACTTATAATGGTGAGGTCACGAAAATGACCTGACCTCATATGACCTTTAGGAAAAATCCGAGATATACAAGTTGTGGGACTCAGAATGGATACTAGATCCTGCAAGTTTCATTTCCCTGTGACATCTCCTCTGGCAGTGAGGGCGTTGCGAAGTTGCGACATCTGAAGACCGTGCAGAGGTTCACTTATGACGTCATAGGTCAGTGACCTGACCTGACCCAAAAATGCGGTTGGTGTCAAAAGATCCGGCTTGGATCAAAGGTCAGGTATGCCAAGTTTCAGCTCTCTATCGCCAGCGTGTTCGGAGCTATCGCGAAAAAACCCTATGGGGGGGGGGCGGCACCCGCCCCCCCCCTCGGCCGGCGAGGGTTAAAATAAAGCCAAAAGAGCATATTTTTTCATGGCATTGGGCATTTTTCGATATGACAACTATATCTCGCTGTGCATGTCAATATATAAAAAGTGGTTCAACTGGCCCCGCTCTCCCCTAATATGTGGCATGTGGGATTGGGTCGAATCTGAGCCCATCTGGCCCGTCCTTGGGAAAGTGTCACTTGTGAGGTAGACCACCCATTAATTACCAATGCCACTAAAGCAGTTACCCCAGTCCCAAGTTTCCAGTTTGCCTCCCCGCGGTGAATAAATGGGGTAACCGCCCACCGGGACGATGGTAAGAGTAGGGTACGGACGGGGTTTTCCTGAGGATGGGGGACGACGCCGTGGTTTAGTAGATGCTATTAGCATGGATGAGATAATAGTATTACTTCATCCATATTCCATGCTATTAGTTTAAAATGTTGTTAGGTGGGTACTGGGTAGGTATACTTACCTAAACTACATGGTACATACCGTGCGGATTTAAGTAGATACCTACCGAAAATAAAGTTCCGTTCCAAATTTATTGCACCTATGTACCTACTGCCGCACTTAATGCTTTTGCGCCTTCATTTCGTGACTGTAGTCTTATCAGCCATTTCCAATTTATTTCGTGAATGAGTCATTAGCCTTAGCACGGTAATTTCGTAAGTGACAAGTCCCATTTGCCCTTGCCCGTTTAGGTTGTGATTGATGAGTCCCATTCGTCTTAGCACGTTCATTTCATTAGTGACTTCCAATTGTCATTGCCCTTTTATTTTATGAGCCAGCACCACGTCAGTGTCTGTTCATTTCGCCAATGAGTCCCATTCACCCCTGCCCATTCCGTTCGTGAGTGAGTGATCAGAGTTCAGGCCACCAATCGTCGATGTTTGATGTTTGTGTCGTTTTGTACGCTTCAGCTGAAAGCCGGCGCGGTCGGCGATGACGCCATGGCGTGCAACACGTTCTGGGAACACAGCTGCTCGGCCTGGATGGAGCGCAACCCCATACCGGCCATCGACAGCGAGTGGGGCGTCACTCAGAAAATGCGCCGCTCCGGTCAGTATAGCCGTGTATACTGTGTAGCCCTCCTAGAGCTTTGTCATAGAGGACCCGAACAGAAACGCTGGCCTGTTTCATTCCTACCCCGAATGTAAATATCAAACAAATGTTAGCTTGCCTACATTTAGCATAGCCAACAGGAAGTACCGGAAAAAAATGAGTACCTTCATCGGTATCTTGGACGCACATTCAAGGAAACTGTGCTGTAGGTCTGTTGGTAGAAGGGGAAGATTGTAACGAGCCATGGATTAGCTTATCTAATCGCTAGTTGCCGAGGATTACAGGAACGGCGAGACGGATGAGATAGGTAGATATGTCGCGAAATTGGACGTCCGATCACCCCTCCCCGCTATGCGTTAACGGCTGCGAAAACGCCAGTAAGGACGAAGCTAAGTTTGCGTAAGTTTGCACTAAGCATCCCAAAAATCTGATTTATGTGTGAGCGTGGAAGGAATTCAGTTTGATAAACGCAAAGGTGAGTAACAGTCACGCTCACGTGAACCGCTTGAAGCAGTGACTAAAAACTCACAAGGAAATGGTCACGTGACGTGTGACCAGGCGGCAGGCTACATCATTCATTTCTGATACCGTCACGTCACACATCTGACTTCCGGGAAGGCAAGCTTTGTCAAATGTTACGTCAGCTTGTTACGATGGGCGAGCCAGCTACTGGAACAATTGGAACAACGAAGGAGACAGGTCACATTTTCCTAGTTTTGCCGTTTTCGACAAATCGGCGCGTGACTTGTCAGTAGTCAACTAATAGGTACAGCTAGGTATACCAGGTCGTCGCTGCGAATGCCTTTTTCGAGATGTCCTAGGCCTATGATAAGTTTACGAGCTATTCCTGGTACCTACTAATAAAATTTGTCCAAGAACGTCAGAATGGAAACAATTTAGCGTCCATCATCTCCATAGTCTGCTGACCTCTGAACTTTCAGTAGAACTTTCTTCAAGATTACGGACGCTCTCTCAAACGCCGTTCACCGATTGTCACTACGACTACGTGACCCAGGAGCCGACTCAGGGAGGGGCATATTCCTCTCCCGCCTGGACGAGTTACGTCATCATCGGAACACCGCCATGGCGCGGGCTAAGATTCAGGCCCCACCCAGTGCAAGGGAGCAGCTGCCGCGATGGATAAAACTTGGAACGGTCTGGCTTCGTTTTGGGTTCAACAGTCGGAGCTCGGAGGGTTGCTTCACAGCCAGATCGGTTGAGCCCACAGTAATTGGTAGTATTAGCACAAATCGCTGCCGTAGCTCCGCTAATGATTCGATCTAGATCTCGCTGGGGCTTACAGTGCCCGGTCGAAAACAGTCGGATAAGTGTAAAAACGGTCAGATAAATGTTCAAAAAAGTCTTAACATCAGCAATCTAGGTAAAGGTCTATAACCAACTCATCCCATATCCCATAACTATTCATGGCTTGCATTTTTACTCGCTGCTGGCTAAGAATCCGCCAGCCTTCTATTCGTTGAGGGAAGAAAGAAACCTCTCGGTTCCAGCACTCTCCCAACTGAATACTGAACAAAGAGACGAACAATGGAGCCATGCCATAGTGTGATGTGAGTGATCACTTGACTGTGATGTGTGACGTGTTAACTGTCATTGTGTGACTCTGTCTGACGTGGCCATGTGACGTTGTGCGACTATGTGTCGTGTTGCCGACAGCCGAGGAGCGTCTGCAGAGGATCCTCTCCACTCTGCCGTACGTCGAGTCGCCGCGCTCCTACCTGTGGAAGCTGAGCGCTCTCTACATGGGCTGCATGGATCGAGCGGCGCACCCGGACCGCTCCGACCTCGCCACCAAACTGCTCGGAGTGGTCAGCAGTCTCGGTTAGTGGCCCGAGCAATGGGCGGATCATCGGCTCCTCATGAGACTCGAACCAATGCGTTCAGAGACTTCAAGAAGCATGTAATCAATTTTACCGAAGGCATTGTCATTCGCCTCACTAGCCCTTAGCTTTGTAAGTGGCGCAGCCAGGGGGGGGGGGTCAGAGGGTCAGCTGACCCCCCCGAAATTTGTCAGGGGCCCGCTCGAGAGAGAGAGAGAGAGAGAGAGAGAGAGAGAGAGAGAGAGAGAGAGAGAGAGAGAGAGAGAGAGAGAGAGAGAGAGAGAAAGAAAGAGAAAGAGAGGGGGATGTCCTAATCTAATCGGACGAGCCCGCTTCGAGAAATACCTACTGGGACACCACGGGCCCCCGGGAGAACGGGCCCGGGCCCCCTGGGTGGATGGGACCCGGGCCCCCGATGGATGGTGTCCGGGCCCCCGGTGGATGGGTCCGGGTCCCCGGGAGAACGGGCCCCGAGCCCGGGTGGACGGGGCCCGGACCCCCGGGAGAACGGGTCCGGGCCCCCAGGTGGATGGGGCTCGGGACCCCCGGTGGATGGGCCCGGGCCCCCGGGAGAACGGGCCCGGGCCCCCAGGAGAACGGGCCCACGCCCGAGCCCCCGGGTGGATGGGGCCCGGGCCCCGGCAGAACGGACCCCGAGCCCTGGGTGGACGGGGCCCGGACCCCGGGTGGATCGGGCTCGGGCCCCCTGGTGAACGGACCCCGGAGCCCCGGGTGGACGGGCCCCGGAGCCTCGGGTGGACGTGGTCCGGGCCCCCGTGTGGATAGGGCCCGGGCCCTCGGGTAAATGGGGCCCGCTAGGGTGACCCGCTTGCTCCGCAACGCGAATAAGGGGTATTTTCGATCGGTGGGCGTTTGGCTGCTATTGTGTCCGTACTCCGTGGGTTATGTATCCGTTTCGGTCGATTGCCTTTTGACGGCTAAGTATTTTGGTTTGGGAAAAATATCCATCGCATCGAGGTGCTCGTGTCTGATCACCATGCGTTCTTCTATAGAACATGCCAAGTGTATTTTATAACATAGGTTAAGGACGTAATTTATTTAGGACGTAAAGTTACCTATTGAAAAATGAAGGCCATCGATGAATTACTTATATAGAGGTTTGAAACATTTATATTTTTAAGAATATTGTTGCTCGTCATGCAAAAGCGATGATTGGATCTTGGACAAAATTGTATGCTCTTTTCAACTATGCCATTTTCAATAGTCAACCGTGCCAGGTTATGCAGCAAAACCCGTGTAATTAAGTAAGTCATGAACAAATTATGTTAGTTTTGATCACAGATGATGTCTTTATACATTTAGGCGAGGTCGGGTCAGGTCAGGTAAGGTCAGGTCAACCAGTAGGGATCGTGACGGGTATTCGTAGTGCATACGTGTCAACCGCCTCTGACAGCTTCGTAACATGTTACGAAGGCACCAAAACTACTTCTTAAATGTTCAAATGGCTGCTAAATTCGAATTCAGCTAACAAAAACTAGCCTAGAAACATGCATAGCTTGAAAAGTGTACTGAGGTCCTCATAGGTCAATGACCTGATCTGACCTTCAGGTGACATTGACATCCACCCTTAGGTATGCATGGGAGCAACATCAAATCACATGTTTGAACGCTTGAAACCACGAAAGGACTGCAAACGCGCCGCTAATGCGAGCCGGCATACGCCGAACCACGATTCTGGCCTCGGAACATGGTCTCGGAAAGAAGGTTAAAGTTTATTTGGGTCAGGGTCATGAAAATTCTAGGATACGTGTAAAATTGATCAACGCGAGGGTACTAAAAGCTACGTTGCGATCAGCCGCTTTTTACGCGAGTAATTCGCGAAAAAAAAACTTTAGGGGGTTGCATCAACCCCATCCCCCCTGTGCCGGCGAGGGTTAAAACTTCTTGTGAGCGAATTCACGTACCTAATGAAGAAGAATAAGGGCACAATCTACTACAGCAGCCAATAGGTGACTTAGGACAGGCACATGGAACTAGTATCTTGTCCGACAGAAGCAGGCAACAGTTCCGATTGCATTTAGGTATGCTATGCATATTGCGGAAGAGGCACATTTCGGCCTCGAAAGATACGAATTCTTACGTCATAGTAACATATTTCTGTCGTGGTCAATTTGCGTAAAGATTGAACACCGGGTGATATCCGAGCTATTGTTCTATCCACATTTTCTTATTCAAACTCGCTCAGGGTTATCGTGCAGGTAAAGGGGGCCCGCTCAGCAGAACGTGTATGAAATATGGAGAGATTCTGAAAAATGGGTGGGGGCCCGCACACTAGGGGGCCCGCTTTGGAGGCGATGACCCCCCCGAAACAAAATCCTGGCTGCGCCACTGAGCTTTGTCATCTTAGGACACAAATAAAAAATAATTGATTGGATAACTTAACTTCATTGTGCTCTAATAAATCAAGTTCCGATTCGATTCGGATATTGAGCGATAGCAAAAATCGATAAATTCCTGACATTGAATCATCCCTCCCTCCCGACTCGGAAGGTGACCAACGCTTGCCGTCGTGCAGGTGGTTTCGAACCGCTAGGCAAGTTTGAGCGGCAGCTGTGGAACCCGGGCGCCGTCATCCGCCAGCTCCACGCCGACCACAACATCGACGTCTTCTTCAGGATCGGCGTGGTGGCCGACCCTGACAACGGCACCAACAACGTGCTGCAGGTGGGCGGCGTGATCGGGGAACGGTGCTCCTCAGCAGCACCGTCCGGTTCTGAAGATGGTCGACACGACTGGACAATAGCCAGGATACTGACCTCACTACCGGACGGCACTGACTTCCACGATCAGACAATAACGTGGCCGGGCTTTGTAAGCTTCGATCTTGCATCGGACAAATCACTCCAACAAATCGACCACGAAAGTGCGAATGATGCTTAGTCCGTACAACTAGGCTCGGTGTGCACATATACTTTCCGGTGTGCACATACTCGTTCGTATATCGGTGCAGTGTGTAATGTGATATGTGAGTAACGTTGACATTGTCCTGACGCAGATATCGCCGGGTGGCTTCGGCCTGCGGGATCGTGGCCACTACTTCAGGGAGCCAGACGACCCGGTAAGTGGTGCCCACTGACAGAGAGGCAAACACAGTAACGGCGGAACACCTTCAATTAAGGGGGGGGGGGGCACTGCCGACTTTTGGTCCCATGATTCTTACCATGCAACGCCCATAGGGCTAATGTTAAAATACCAAAATCAAAGGACGGCACGGTGCCCCGGTGCCCTCCCCGTTCCGCCGCCTATGGGCAAACAGGCAGCCGCAAAATGGATCACTTCGGATAGTCCTACTCCTATCTATCGTTCAAGATATGTCGTTTCCTGCTGATCATTTTGTGAGACGTCAGGGTCTGCTAAATGCGGCCCAATTCGCCTCCCTCCGGCTCCATAACCACTGGTCAGGTATTCACGAATGCCAGACCATGGTCAATCAGGCGGATCCTGCTTCACAGAGGCTTGTCCTCTGGTCGTTTGAAGTGTATTGTTTGCGATGCCCTCTCTCTGTGCTTCTGGTCTGTAATGCCTCCGATCCCCCTTTCTGCGACACCAGGTGGTGACGGCGTACCAGCGCTACATCCAGGATGTCCTGCTGCGGATCGGCGTCACTGTAGACAGCGCCGCTCGGTTCGCCAAGAACATGTTCCACTATGAGAGGCGGCTGGCGGAGGCGTCGCTGGACCCGCTGGAGAGGAGTGACCCGGCCAGCACCCCGCACCCGCAGCGGGTCACTGTTGACTGGCTCCGCAAGGAGTCGCCTCAGGTGGGTACCTGCACTCAGCAACGGCAGACCACGGAAACCAGCTTGCGGATTGGGATGAAGTTTTTTGTCCACCACTACGGTTTGAGACCGCATTCGGAAAATGTCAGTCAATGTCAAGTCGTCGCTGTCCTTGAAACAGTTTTCTGCTTAAAGCATTCCTAATACTCATAACACATGTGTATCAGAGTGAAAATCTCAGGTTTGTCTGTATCAGTAAATGTTACGGCTGAACGTTGCCGTGTGTTGTCTACCATGGAGTTGCGTATCTTGCCCTGGTGCCGGCAGATTGACTGGTTGAACATCCTACGGGACGTGTATCCCGCCGGGAAAATCACGATGGAGACAGAGGTCGTGCTGCCCGACCAGCAGTACGTCCTGGAGGTGTCCAAGATCGTGTCCAGCACAGCCACCAGGTAAAGAGGTCCGTCCAGTCTGCAGGCGAAATGTGTAAGGCATTGACGATACCTAAACTTAGGACAGATCCCAAGAGTTACGCAAGCTGATAGCACGGTAAGCTCGATCAGGAAATTCTCTGAAGAAGCCCATTTTGACGAACGCCGAATGACGTTGTGACATTCAAAATACATCAGGCAAGATTCCTTTGACCCAACAAAAATCCTCACCGGCAGATTTGGCTATGTGCCACTGACAGATGGCCTGCATGCTGATAGCTGTCTGTGGAGCACAAAGCACCCCCGTGTCACCTACTGATAACTGCCTGCGCAGCGCCGGTGTGCCGCCGACAGCTGTGCTAACACCCGCGGTGTTGCAGCTCGATGAACGAGTACCTGATGTGGCGACTGGTGGACGGCTACCTGCCCTACCTCCCGGAGGCGGATCGCGCCGCGCTGGACGTGCTGCGATCAGAACTCACCGGTCAGTCTGGCCGCCGAGCCCCGACACAGCAAACCTGAGCATTCTATGGCCCGCGCATTACATGTCCGGCATTCCACGGCCTGCGCCCTCAACGCTTTAACAGGCCCAGATGGAATAACCTCTTGAGCCATTATTTGTATCAGACTTTCTTGTGCGTCCCATTATGTTTCTTCTCGCAGTTTCCACGCTTATGTCTATCTGAATTCAGACGTTCATGTCCCTCTCTCATTTCGGACAGGTGTGAGGCGCCAGCCGCCGCACTGGCTGACCTGTACGAGGATCACGCGCCAGCTGCTCCCGCTGGCGGCTGGAGCCCTGCTGGCGCGCGACGAGCCGTCGGAGGCGAGGGAGCACAGTCAGCGGGCGGCCACGGACCTTTTCCAGTCGCTGCAGCAGGGTCTGGGCGGGGCGCTCACCTACAGCCGGCTGGTCAGCGACCGGAACCGCGCCGCCGTGCTCCATCAGGTGCAGGAACAGAAACAGACACAGAGAGGCTTAGCGAATAGACGTGCCAAACCGCGCCGGCGCACTGCATCAGGGACGGAATAGATGCAGGTGCAGGGATAGACAGACACTGACAGGCCGATGCAGCCTGCACAAGTGCATAACACATAGCTCTTTCTGTGCGGTATGCACCTGTTTCTGCTGCTTCTGTCGCCGACTTCAAAACACTCAGCACTGATACTGAGACTCTCCCTTGCTTTCAGATATCCAGCGTTGACCTGGTGTGCGGCTACCCGGCCGTGCTGCTGGAGGACAAGCTGCTGGACAAGGTGTACTCGGAACTGAACGTCATGCGGCACAACTTCTTCGACAGCGTGCAGGCGGCCCGGCGCCACCAGAGGATTATTGAACAGAAGGCCTACCTGGTACCCGGTGAGAGCGGCTCACAGTGCAGTAACGTGTTACTGTCGGCCGTCGGGCCACGAGGACACGTCAAATGTCCGACTGAATTATGCCATTCACCTGGGAATTTCTTTCGCCGACGGCAGAGGTCAGGACCTTCGCAAAAAGCCATGCAGAATAACACCGAATGCGAGCACGTGAATGACCCGATGGTCTACAGTACTCTACAGACTTGTGTTCTGTATTTACGGCGTTTCAGAACCAACCTTCTAGGTAGGTAGGTGGCGTCTTTTCCAATGAAGTTGACGTGTTCTTTTATTTGTGTTTTAGGTCAGGAGCAGGAGTTGGAGCCGCTCCTGAACGGTGCGTCGGTTAGCTACAGCCAAGCACATCACACGGTCGTCGTACCTGATTACCTCCTGCAGCCGCCGCTCTTCGAGCCCACCTACCCTCCGTGAGTGAAATTATTCTAGTCCTCCTTCCTTCCGTGAGTAACTGTTGAAGCCCTCCTACCCTCTGTGAGTGACGCTACTCTTCCAAAACTCCCACCCTACAAGAGTGACGCTCTACTCCAGCCGTCCTACCCTCCGTGAGTGAAGCTCTGTTCGAGCCCTCCTGAACTACGTAAGTGAAACTTTTCCGAGTCATCCGGCTCCTACCCTCCGTGAGGGACACTCTGTCCGAACCCTCCTGCCATCCGTGGGTGGGACTGTGTTTGAGCCCTCTTATCCTCCGTAAATGACCCTGTTTGAGCGGGTGCGTATTATTTAGGCCAGGGTTCATAATGTCCAGGGCACAATGTGTCCAGTGCTCGAAATGGCCAGTGCCCTGAATTGGCCAGTGTTCACATTGTCCAGGGATTACATGGTCCAAATGTGGCCAACTGGCTGCAGATAGGGTAAATTCAAAGAGGCCAGGGTTCATAATGTCCAGGGCACGATGTGTCCAGTGTTCGAAATGGCCAGGGTTCATAATGTCCAGGGCACGATGTGTCCAGTGTTCGAAATGGCCATTGTTCATAATGTCCAGGGCACAATGTGTCCAGTGTTTAAAATGGCCAGTGCCTTGAATGGGCCAGAGTTCATAATGTCCAGGGATTACATAGTCAACCCAACCCAACCCAACCAAACCTAACCTAACCTAACCTAACCTAACCTAACCTAACCTAACCTAACCTAACCTAACCTAACCTAACCTAACCTAACCTAAGGTAATGATGTTTGCCTACCAGGGATAAGGAAATAGTTTCTCGCATGAATAGATTGCAAGCAATAGTAAATCAAATATTTTTAGGTTAAGTGGTTATGCATCAGGCTTCAGGCCTTCGGCCTGAAGCCAGATACATAACCACTTAACCTAAAAATATTTGATTTACTATTGCCTGTAATCTCTCCTAAGGCATTGCCTTCGGCACTGCACTGCTTCGCATTGAGCTGGTTCCGTGTTTTTTACATAATGACGTCACTTTCAGTGACTATGTAATCCCTGGACATTATGAACTCTGGCCCATTCAAGGCACTGGCCATTTTGAACACTGGACACATCGTGCCCTGGACATTATGAACCCTGGCCATTTCGAACACTGGACACATCGTGCCCTGGACATTATGAGCCCTGGCCATTTCGAACACTGGACACATCGTGCCCTGGACATTATGAACCCTGGCCTCTTTGAATATACCCTATCTGCAGCCAGTTGGGCCGCATTTGGACCATGCAACCCCTGGACATTATGAACTCTGGCCCATTCAAGGCACTGGCCATTTCGACACTGGGCATATCGTACCCTGGACATTATGAACCCTGGCCAGAATGAATGCTCCCCGTTTGAGCCCTCCTACCATTTGTGTGTGACCCTCAGTTGCAGCCCTTCTACCCTCTGTGAGTGAAACTCTGTTCGAGTCCTCCTTCCCTCTATGCTCCATGAGTGGCATATAATATACTAAGCCAAGTCGTTGTCTGCATTTGTCGATGGTTCTTGTAGTTTATGTCTTTTACCTTGTTGGGCGAGGAAGTTTGCATTAAAATGTGTCACAGCTTCTTTAAGAGCTCATTGCGATCATAATTGACTGAACCGTAACAATGCTCCTTTCGCCAGTCCTTTCAAGTACGGAGGTCTGGGCACGCGGCTGGCAGAGGCCCTGCTCGCTGCCATCAAGCCGGGCAGCCTGGCGCTCGCCGAGGAGGAGACCAATTCGACAGCCGACGGCGGGGACACGATGGCCCACAACCGGGAGACGTTCCGACGCTGCATTTCGGCGGCGCTCTCCAAGTCCCAGCTTGAGCCGCAGACGGTGGCGAAGGTGACCACGTCGGCCTCCGACCAGGTCCTGGCTCTACGGCTAGCTCTGCAGGTGAGCACATTGACAGCTTCTAGTCGTAAGGTCCGATACACTAAAGGTTAGGATCAAGTCGACGTCAGTTTTGACAATTACATATCCGCCATCGCCTTGACAATCGTTCAGCTGACCATGCCGAGGTTTTTTTTTTAATCCATCAGGCATTAAATGTCGAGAGATGTCAAAATTCAGCGATGTCACTACACGTTTTTAACCATCGAATTCGATAGGATACCTAATTTCCCATGCAAAATGTATTATGAATTCCGTTTTCAATCACGGCACCACCTCGTTTGTTATTGCTATTACATTTGTCATTTTCTACATAGCTTCTACGTTCTTATACGCTATATACGTTCATCCTTATACGTTATATACGTTCATCCACTTATACGTTCATTCCTTATACGTTCATACGTTCATCCACCCTGTTCGTATAAATGTGATGCAAAACTACTAAGTAGGCACCACAAAAGCAAACATCATGAGACGGCTTCGTATATTGAATCAAAGATGGTGTTTAAAATAAATTACATCAGCCTATGGCACGAGGAAGCCTGGATGAAATATGTTTATCAAAAAGTTTATGAAGTTCCTTTTTCCCTTCGTTTTCAACCGTTTTCTTATTTTTCTTCCACCAAGTCTCCACCAGATTTGTCGCATACTCTCTCGATGGAAATCCAAGGAAGCTATCCAGAACGCCCAGTACGCCATCCAGATTCACTTCCACGTTGATATCGGGCATTCGTACATCGATCTCCGTGTTCGATGGGAATGCCGACAGGGAGTTATTGCTGTAGTTCAGATTTATCAGTGACTGAACACTTCCCGATGGATCGAGCACCTCTATTTTCGGCTTGCAGGTTAGCGAGAAACAATGATACTCCTTCCAGACGTTTTTGCACAGTACGAACTCGCCTGAGGCGTTGGCCACCAGTTGGGGCCAGTAGACAGCGAACCTCGCTCGGAGTACGGTGGGGCCCGTGTGAGCCACCGACACGTGATCGATCGTGTAGTCGCCCAGCCCGTACACCCGGATGTCGCCCACCCACCACTGCACCGAGCCGTTACCCGAGGCGTTCTTCAGCACCAGCGGGTCAAACTTGGCCCCGAGCGCCGGCCTGGCCGCCTCCAGGATACCCCTGATGCACGTGCTGATCGAGTTTAGGTTGCTGAGATCACACGGCAGGGCGGCTGTGGTCGCCACCAGCAGCACCGTCGTGAGGAGAAAGGCCAGACGCATGACTGGATTTTCAAGTCGAGACGATTCTGAGCCGAAATTCTGGCAGGACACCACTAGACGGCTTCACCAGCGGAGTTGGTCACGGTCTGACACCACGATACGATCAGGGGCACCACCAGATGTTGTTTAAAAGTGCGCTCTCTGAGTGAGCTCATCCAAATGAGCTGCAGCTGTTTACGAGCTCTGCTCGAGGAGCTGCAGCTGCGCTCGAGCTCCACCGGAGGAGCTGCAGCTCTGTATAAGTGAGCTGCAGCTCTTCACGAGCTGAAGGATTGCACTCCACCACAGAAGCCTCCAGGCTCAGCACTGATTCACCTGAACAGATGTGTATGAAACCCCCACCGCTCAACGTGTGACCGAATAGGGCTCCCCGCCTGTCAGAGCACTACTGAAAAACAGCCGGACGGTGACATTTCAGCGACATTTCGTGTCACCTTTCGGTGGCCTCGCGGTGCATACAGCAGGATACTTTACTGAGCTTTGAAAATGAATCTTCTGTACCAGGACAGGGTCAACTATTGACACTGAGGCGAGGTGCTAAATGTTCTGGTGGCAGTGAAACTTGAGTGTCCCATCGTGTGACGTTTTTTGTTTAATTCAAATTCACTCAATTGGGAATTTGAGCGTATTTCATCATCTGCGGTCGACTTGAGCGACGGCAATGCGGGTCAAACTCTACGGCAATGCCAATGCACGGAAAGAAATTAATATCCGACCAACTAAACTAAACCGACTCATGGACTGGTCCATTAATTGTGTGCTTTGTTGTTCCAGACAATGCTGGCGCACCTGGAGGAGGTTGGGGACGAACAGCTGCCCGGCTTAGAAGATATGTCGGCGGAAAAAGTTTTCTTTTCTGCCTTTGGCCAGGTGAGACTTTTTAGATAGCTAACAGGTTATTGTTGGAACTCGAGCTGATACGTGATTTTTCTGTTACAGCATATAGTTGTCAATATTAAGCACAACTATTTTTATAAACACAAAACTGCTGCAAATTATTTAGGGCAAACTTGCAGAAGCATCAACGCTTGGAGTAAATTTTTACTGCTGCCTGCAGAAAAACATGCATCATCGGTTATGAATTGTGAATGAATTTACCAACGTGGTCCTGGCAATGATCCGATTCGAGCCCTGTTGTGTTCTGGGTGCGTCCTGAGCTGATATGCCGGAAAAGGACTATTTGGCCGGCTCTACAGCGAACTCGCTGACGTCAATCATTGTGGAAGATAGTGGAAGACAGGCATGAAAGAAATACCCAATTTTAAGTTGTGTACCTAGCACCTGAGAGGCTCGCTGTAAACAACATGTAAGAGACTGTTTATGGCCACCCTTATAAGTAACATACAGTTCTCGTCACTTGTTTGTACCTAATGCTAATACCCGTTCACAGAGTTTGTGTTTGCACAAGACGGAGGAGAAGAGCCGGTGGGACGAGTTCACAAAGTTCAAGGTCGATGGAAAGGTCAAGTAAGTACCACCTATCATTTTCTCTTGCTTCCACAGTGCCTGTTTACGTAAAACAAGAACGCGAAAACAGCACCGTATGTGGTCTTATCTCGCCTTACTTACATAGTTTTGCCACAATCCTGTCTGTAAGCACTAAAAAGTGACTGCGGCCGTGCCACGTATGCCCAGTCTGGAGCTGACGGTGTCTCACCTAGCCTGTCCATGTCCACAGGCTGGAGCTTACAGTGCCTAACCTAACTTACCCATGCCCGCAGACTGGAGCGTAGAGTGCCTAACCTAACCTACCCATGCCCACAGGCTGGAGCTTACATTGCCTAACCTAACCTTCCCATGCCCACAGGCAGAAGCTTACAGTGCCTAACCTAACCTTCCCATGCCCACAGGCTGGAGCTTACAGTGGGGCAGGCGGCACCGTTCCGGGAAGTGTTCAACTGCAACGAAACGCACGCACATGTGCTCAAAGGACCGTGCGGCTTTTTCGTGTAAACGTGCGTGAATGTGCAGCCAGAGCGAAAGGAAAGCGAGAGTCGACGTTTTGCGTGATACAGAACCAGAAGTAGCTGACGCCTGAGGCGCGCACTTCCTTTTGACGCCGAAGGTAGGCGGTCATGACGAATGGAGGACATGCAGTGGGCCAAGAGCAAGTATGCAATGTTGTACGTCAAAAAAATGATTGCTGTGCCCGCTGGGGCATCCCAGTCCCAGGAACTCGGCGCTTTTTGCCGAGCTCCAATTATTTTTTGTCGCGTGTGTTGTTATTTGTTTCAAAACGTGCATTTCAATTTTTTGCTACGGTGCATCTGTCATGTCATGAGTAAGCGTGAGTGCGATAGTGAAGAAGGGAGTAGACTAACTTTATGCGTGGTGTGGGTGTAAGCTTTGGCATTTTAGAGCTTAGGTTCTATGTCATTGTAAAGGCGAACGAAATATGCCATCCCGATACCTAAGTTTGTATCGGACGAACAATGTCAGAATACGTGATTGTTTTTACTCTGTGGGTCTTTTTAGTCACTAATTACTCGCGAGGTAGGTACGGGAGAGGTTACTTGGAACATTTTTTTCTGCATCTCTCAGGAACATCTAGGATAACGTTTAACGTACATGCACTTTGAAGTAGTTAGCTACCTTGAAGATAGGATTTCTGGCTAGACTGCACGTTTTGTTAGGTAAGCTACGTCACAGGTGCTGCGCGAAGCATCTTTTTTATCGTTTTTGGATGGGCAACTTTTTTTTCTTGTCTGTATTTAACTGAGTTCATGAACTTCTAATGCTATCGACCTGCTGCATAATTTGCGAGAGATGAGAGGGACAAAGCTACTTCTTGCCACACACTGCACGAAGGATAAAAGTAAAACCACTTCCTATCGGTACTACACATCATTTTAACTACACCAAATTAAGTGCGTTCGGAATTAGTGCGTACTTCATTTTTAGCTTCATTTTCAGCATGATTTGAAGTCATTAAAAAATGTGTGAAATTGAACGGAGACGGCTGATCCATCAATCCCAATAAAAAACCTAGGATAAGATAGCAGCAATCGGATACGAAATGCCCTCCCTTGCATCTCCAATTGACAGCAAACTTTATACTCTCGTCTGTGCGGAGGTTCACGCGCGGCATCAGACTACATGCGAAATTTCCATTCGCGAATCTCCCTGGCAATAGAGCGTGCCAACCTTCCACTAGAACAATGCAACCATTTGTTCACCTTTTTAGGTTCCTCCGTTATCCTGGCTTTGCGAATAATCCAAATAAATAATAAAATCATTATTCCTTAATTAATGTCACCTGTGTCTGCTTCAACAGAAAATCGTGCAATCATGCTAAAAGCTAATGGTTTGTCCTGAGCTTCAGTGCCCGTGCCATATGGTCCAATGTTCATTATGAATGAAAGGTGCGCATACTTCGATTAAGCTTATTTTAAATTAAGATCTAGACGATCTCGTATGACCAGCAAATGCAAAACTCGGCGAGAACTCGTAAGGCAAATATGACTATGTGGTTCGAATAAATTGGGAAAATTGAGTCGTTTCCTCTGCGAGATGTGTCCCAACCTCCCATGTTTCATTTTCCCAGTGCACGAACGCTGTCTAGGTAGCCAGTGGCTGTTGTTCATGCGTGTGCCAAGTATGTCGTGTTCGTTTGACGTTTACGACGCGTGATGTCCAAGTGCACCAATGAATCCATGGTATGGTCTTGTTTTGTCAATAAACTGAAATTCGGAAACGAAGTGGATGTAAAGACAGCTGATTCCAGGAGATGAGTCGCAAACAGTTACAAATAAGTGGCAACTATCGCACGTTTGTTACCTTTGCGCATAAATTGCAGGCACAACTCACTGCCATCCAATCGTCACATACTTCTATGAACTTGCGTCGCCATTGTTGATATTCAAGCTGTCAGATCGCGCTACGCGATATCCCCGAATTTAATGATCGGAGGACCAAACTATGGCAAACTATGTATGTTTTCGTACTGAATTAAAATATGAGCTAATGGCACACTTGTCAGTCATCCTATAACCAATACACAAAAGTTTGGCCGGCTGTCAACTTAAAAAAAGCTTCCTCTGTCAACTCAGCACCAAGCAGTCTCAACCATTTAGTTCGTATACTCCTACCTGTTTCAAACCCATGCGATGTGCTACAATGATTGATATATTTTGTGATCTCACCGTCTTTTTTCTGATTTACCGCCATTCTTCTTGTTTATAAAAAGATAAAGGCCAAAATCGATTGCAAAAATCTTCGAAAGAGCTTATTATTAGCTAAAACAAAGATACTTCCTAGCACAATTATTAAAAACACAATATTATTGATGATTAATTCATGAACGGTCACCGAGATACTAAAAAACAATCGTCAATTTAGAATGAATAAAGCATGCACAATGCACGATTATGGGTAGCTGAACTGTCTAACCGGGACAAGACACCTTAACCAAATACTAGCAAAGCTGACTTTCACCGTCACACCCCCACTCGCAGCTATCAACGAATCTCCCTTGTCACGACATAATCTCGGGGACCGCGGCGGCCGGCCGCATTTCAGCTACTCGGTAGTAGCCAGCCAGTCGGTCGGGGCGGCGGCGGCGCCGGCCGGCGTACGGAACCCCCTCAGTGTCACCGGGATCTGACACCAGATCGGCTCCGGCTCCGGCTCCGGGCCGTCCTCCGACCCGGCTCCCGCCGCCCAGTCACACGGAGCCGCGTAGGACAGCTCGCCGCCGGCCGAAGAGCAGCCGCCGGACGAGGTCGAGCACGAGTCGCCCCGGGACTGGTCGGGCGACTCGGGCGGCCAGCGGCCGGCACCCACCTCTGTGAGGCGTCCCAGTCCGTTCACCGGCGGCGCGGGCGACAGCGAGGCGTCCAGCAGCGAGAGGCCCATCTCGGCGGCGAACTGGGCGCAGCAGGCCTGGAGGCGGCGCGGCGCGGCGCGGCCGCAGCACGGCGACACGGCCACCGGTGACGGCGGCACACTCTCGGCCAGCGCGCGCACGCCGTGCTGCAGACGGATGTGGATGACGGTGCCGCGGCGGAACGTCTGCGCCGGCCGCGGCACCAGCGGCGTGTCGCTGCCGCCGCCCGGCGCCGTGCGCAGCAGCACGTGCAGGTTAGTGGGCGCCAGCTGGCGAGAGGTGAGCTCCAGCAGCGGTGAGCACGTCACCAGTGTCCTGTCGGGGAAAACGATTAAGTGTGTGGTAACTAGTGGCTCACAAATCTAGCAGGTCTCCTAACTATTTAACTATAGGAAGTCTTGGTACGAGCCAGCAGACGATTACGATCTAGATGGGAGCAGCCCGGGATCAAGAAAGGTCGGAAACCGCACGAGATTCGCACCTCTACGAGGGAAGTTTTTGAAACATTCAATATGTAATAGGTATGCAACTTCAGGTCGGAGTTGCTAGGTAGTTCAAATTTGTTGCGTATTCGTTATGGCCCGAGAGAATGCTCGCGACTGCGGCCTGGGACTCTTTTGGAGATTTTATCGTCGTGTTATATCGCAATTGGTGAATAACGGGTAATTAGACGATTTTCCCCACCTAAAGAGTTGCCGAGCGCCCCTCTGGTGCTGCAGGCAGCGCGGATGTCTGTCGAACTGCGCCGCTATGGCCGGGAAATGCAGCACGTACACCTCCTTGGGGCTGACGGCCGAGCTGCCGAGCAGCAGCGCTACGCGAACTCCGTCCGGCCAGCTGCAGCTGTCCAGCGCGTCAGACAGTTGCTGCAACACACAGATGGCAGTGAGCTGATACAATATCATAAATAACTACCTACAGGTGATAACAGCCCCACCTGCAGCCAGGTATACCTGGTTAGCTCCAAATGCATGTGGCACTGGCCTCAATAGCCTGTAACTTAACTTTCTAGATGAGCCAACAAAACTGCATTATCTCGGTATCCTGGCTCATATGTAATTAATTTGAAAATGTGGAAGCCAGAAGCAATCAAGGCCACCTGAATCATTAAGACAAATTTCACGTAGTTTAACTGGGAATGGTTGGAAAAGTCCCTGATCTTACCTGATCACACTCATCATATTTGGTTAGAAACATCTTTATCCTTTTTTGAAGTCTCTCATCTCTTTTCAGTCTTCTCCTGGCATGCCTTGCTTGCATAAGATTCTGGCGCTAAAAAAGACAACATGTTTAAGAGAATTCGCTGGTGGAACATAACAACTCTTTGAGTTTCAGATTACACTAAAAGCAAGCTTTATAATCATTTGACAAAAAAGAGAAGTGACTAAAGTTGAGTGGTTACTACAGGATTAAGGCTTCAAAATTTCTTTGTATGATAAGGAACCCAAAACTGACTGATGAGAAGACATGAGAAGACCTGAAATTGTTTCTTGAAGGTAAAAGACAACCAGCAAGAAGGTACCAATTTGACCACAGCCCATTTCACCTAATTCAAAATGGCCACATTCCTGATTCAACTCCTTACAATTACCACAAATCTATCAGTTCAATCACACTGAACATAAAAACAGCATGAACGCGTACCAACAGCTGCTGGTGACGTCGGACCCCTTCTGCATCACTACACCAATCTTCATCTTTCAGTTCATGAAGTAAATTCAAGTCAGGCTCCACTTCATTAGCTGCTCTCCCAGCATATTTTCTCAACGAATCAAACTGGAATGGTATCTGCCCTCTTTGGTAGAGAAGATATTTTATAAATGAGAAAATCAGATGCTTTGTACAGGCTCGAGTCAAAACACCATCAAGTTCAATGGACGTATCCATTTGCCAGAAGCAAGTGATGGCAACAAACTACACTAATTACACAACATAGCAAATAAAAACAAGTAGTCTTCGAGAATTCGGCACGTAGTCTTCCATCAAAATTATAATAGGTATGTAATCAAAATCCAAAATGCGCGGTATTCTGGTTGAGGCTTGTTCACCGCGTTGTGTTCACGGCGTAAGCTACGAGACGGAGCGGCCAAATCTAGCGAAAAATGTAAGATGTCCTTAAATTGACCAAGACTTTGCAAAAACTCTAAAAAAAAATCCGCTGATAAGGTAGGCTGCATTTTTTAGCGAACATTTTCATGTCTGTCATTTACGTTTGTGGTTTGTAGCAAATGCGAATGCCATTTGTGCGGTACGCTCATGTCATTCTCATTGAGCTTGTATTTGCTTGTTTAAATCTTGATGGATGGTTAATAAAAAATGTCAATTTAATTGTTGGTAGGGTAACTTTGGACTATTGGGATGTTCTTCATACGATGAAGATATCAGACATCAATAAATTGATTGAAATGTACATGCTGAGGTCGTAGCTAGGAACACGCAAAATGACAGATGCATAGTAGATGTATTTCCATAGATATGTAGACATATCATGTGTATTTCTGACCTAATGAGTTTTTTTCTAGAAAGTCTCAAGTTTTCCCCTTTACATTTGGCCGCCTTGAAATAGCAAAAACAGTTGAATAGATTGTTTGTAACTCTTGCGTTGTAATCGTCTAAATTATATTTTACACCTTCCTTCGCCCTCGCCCTCGGTTTATATAGCCTTGCCCTCGCCTACTGCCTACTCAAGATACCTATAAGAAACTGCCTACTAGTGCGTAGGTAGGTGCCCGCCTAGCAGATTGCACGGTATATACTCCAACTCTCAACTCCAACTGCAGTTCTCTATATAAATAGAGAACTGCAGATTGGAGTATAGTGAATCGTGTATTTTTGTATACCTACATTGCATATTACAATTATTTGACTGAGGGTGTGTTTCTGCAAGCTACAAGCTACTGATGACTGTTTTGCCATGCTACTAAGTACTAACCCACGGGTTCCCACCTCACCTGTTTGCAGAAAAGGATCCAGAGAAAAAGACATGTCACAAGACAGAGGAGATGATGTTATGAGTCCACCTCAGCTGAATGTTCTACTTGAGCGTGATCCATACCTGAAACCCTTTGAAAAGGAAATAAGGAGGAGGTGAGCATACGATATTGGCTGATGTATGGTTATTTGCATAGGCGGCGGAATGGGGAGGGCACCAGGGCATTGGCCCCCCTTTGATTTTGGCATTTTAACATTAGCCCTATGGGCGTTGCATGGAAAGAATGGGACCAAAAGTTGGCAGTGCCCCCTTAGTTGAAGGTGTTCCGCCGCTACTGGTTATTTGCATGCAACATGACCACCCGTGCTAATGTAACTAAGTGTGTTAGGTGCGCTGTTTGACAGGCATGGCTGTGAGGCCAGTCTGACAAATCACTGACACATTTATTGGCAGATATGGTGAGTTCACCAAGCTCCTGCACAGCATCAATGAACATGAGGGCGGCCTGGACCACTTCAGTCGTGGCTACGAGCGGTTCGGCTTGCATGTGCAGCCAGACGGCTCCATCAGCTGCCTTGAGTGGTGTCCAGCTGCCGAGGCTCTTTACCTGAAGGGCGAGTTCAACAACTGGCAGCTGGCTGAGTTCCAGCGGCAGCCGTTCGGCAAGTGGCAGCTGATTCTGCCAGGGCGCGCCGGCCAGCCACCCATCTCCCACCTGTCACAGGTCAAGGTAGGTGTTGGGGTCACTGCTGGTCTGGTAGGTTGGTGTAGCACTGGGCCTGATGCCGGCACTGCTCTGAACCAGCCTACATTGCTGCTGGGACTGTTATATTTCTTCTTACAAATCAAATAATAGTGAGGTTTTATGAATATGCTATTTTTCATTTATGTGCAAAAATCGCGACCCAATTCAATTTCGTTGTTATTTCTCTTCAGGCGGCGTAGATTGATCGAAAGGCTTGTTGATTGGCGTTGCCTCCTCGGAACTACCAATATGCTTGTTGATATCCTAGTTCGGTATCCGGTGTCATTCCCGCACCGATAACCGGTGTCCGTCGGTCTGTGCCCGCTGGCGGCTAGCCATGTGTTCGTGTCATTGTCCGGGTCATTTATCGTGTGTGTCCGGGTCCGGCTGAAGATATGTGTCCGTGTCTTTGAGTCATAACCGTGTCCGGTGAATTATCCGTCCCCGGGCCTCTGACGGTCCGGTTCAGTGTCGTGATCTCTGACGCGGCTCGTGTTGTCGTCGCCGCCAGCTGGTAGTGAAGACCAAAGACGGTCAGTTCGTGGACCGTCTCTCCCCGTGGGCCACCTACGTCAAGCCGCCGCCCACCAAGGACCAGGGCATCGCCTACAACCAGCACTTCTGGAACCCGCCGGCCAGCGAGCGGTACCAGTTCAAGCACTGCCGGCCGCGCCGCCCGGCCAGCCTCCGCATCTACGAGTGCCACGTGGGCATCGCCACTCCCGAGGGCCGCGTCGGACAGTACGGCGAGTTTGGCCGCGACGTGCTGCCGCGCATCGCCAAGCTGGGCTACAACGCCATCCAGCTGATGGCCATCATGGAGCACGTCTACTACGCCAGCTTCGGCTACCAGGTCACCAGCTTCTTCGCCGCATCCAGGTGGGTGGGCTGGATGGGGAGGTCTGTAGTACACATGACTGAGGAGGAATGATGGCCAGGGCGGCAGCACTAAGCACACTAGGCTGCAAAGGGCTTAACTGAACACATGTGCGGCCAGATGGGACCAGATACACGTCCAGACAGATCACTGTCCCGGATTGACATCATAGCGGAGTACGCCAGTCGTACGAACTTAGGATCTGATCAGACGGACTCACCGATGGAAAGATGGAGCAGACGTAAAGTGGGAAGGAAGTTGCTCGGACGCACTGATACCTGACCAGCTGAGCGTAGGCCGTGGGGTTGAGAGGGCCGCCCGTAGCAGTTGCCAGCGATCGGATGGGTAACTCAGCGCCACATTAATGCCGCCCGACTATAATACGGTCACTGGCCGCCGAAAGGGACTATATATATTTAGCCACTAGTCTCCAGTGAATGCTGTACTACTGGATAGGTCGCTGGCAACCGAAGGGCACAGGCGTCATCACTGCGCCAGATGTGGCCGGTTCTGCCTTCTCTAGGTTCACGGCTGGATGGATGAGTCCAGCTCACTCTGTGACGTAGGCGTCACTTTCCGAAATTTATTGGTAGAGTACGGGCCCTACCAGGTCTATGTAAAACAACATCCATGTTCTGTAATAGTGTTCTCTGACATCCTCGATCGTCGCCGCCGAAGTCACTGTTCCTATCCATCAATTGGTCGGTGGAGCGACTGGAGCGAGCCAATGGATGATGTTGAGTCAGTACTGCCATAGATTCATTAATTCCCCACTGACCTCTGCGCCTGAATATAAACACGCCGATGAGCCAGCACTTCAAACGCCCCTGGCCGTTTCCATAGGCCGGGGATAAACAGTAAGGAGGCCGGTCGGTGGGCGGCACCCCGGTCGGAGTCTCTCGGAGAATGGCGCGACTTTTGGCACCCTGGCGGTATCGCTGAACACACATCATTGAGTACCACACTGTACTTTCTATAGCGTAATACGCTAGTACAGTAGCGCTGTATCATTGTCCATGATACCATGTTTCACACGGCCCACCCTTTGATACCATTGCTCACACGGCTGGTCCTTCGTTACCATGGCGATTCGCTGGCACCATGTGGGGCACGCCGGCGTCGCGTGCGGTGGCCGCCGTCACGCAGCGGACGGCTGATCCCGACCGCCACGTGGTGCGCCCGGTTCGGCTTCCGATGCGCCCGTAATGTAAACATTCCAACGGCTCGGAAAAAGAGCCGGTAGGTGCTCTCAGGTGGCGTTACGTCATCATGACTCGTAACCTAGAGGTGTCTAGTGACGGGCTTACACCTGTTCAGTCACCTGACAATTGACATCGTAGCTCAATACGACGGGTCAGAATAAGAACATCGTACAGCTGATACAACCACCGGCTATTTTCGTCAATAGTTGGGAAAACGAGTGGAGCCAAATCGATTTAACTTGCTCTACATGTTTTTCACACCCATTTGTGGAAATTTCGTGTAATCGAATCTCAGGCTCCATGCAAAACATAGATTGGAGACATCGATTTGCGTGTATGTAATACAAATGCAAGCATTGATTTATATGCACTGCTCCGTCGTATATTTATACATCAGGTTAAGTTCGTCTTACGTGAGGTCTTCCACAGCGGTAACGAGCTCTGAGCGGACATTGGTTCCCTATCTCGGACAAAACGATACAGCTGTATTTCAGCACCTCCATTTTGCTGAAGTCTACAAGACACTAATGAGTTACGGCTACCTCTCCCCCATTTTCAGCCGGTACGGCACTCCCGAGGAGCTGAAGCAGCTGATTGACGCCGCTCACGCACTGGGTATCTACGTGCTCCTCGACGTGGTGCACTCTCACGCCTCCAAGAACGTGTTGGATGGCCTGAACGAGTTCGACGGCACGGACAGTTGCTACTTCCACGGCGGCGCGCGCGGCGTGCACTCGCTCTGGGACTCGCGTCTGTTCAACTACAGTAGCTGGGAGGTGCTGCGCTTCCTGCTCTCCAACCTGCGCTGGTACATGGAGGAGTACCAGTTCGACGGCTTCCGCTTCGACGGCGTCACCTCCATGCTCTACCACAGCCGCGGCATCGCGCAGGGTGAGACTGCTGTGGCAGGAAGAGGGAGGGGCGATTGGGACGGGGAGAGGTGACTGGATTGTCTGTATGATTGGCCGGCGGAGTGGGATGCTGGCTGATTGACCGAAACAAGCTGAATTGCTAATAAGCCGAGCTATGGGGCTGATGTAGTGTATTCTGAGGACCGTTGTCTTTGCAGGGCCATTGTGGTTTTTTTGTAGGACCGATGTATTATATAACGTATCTGTAAATTACCGTAACTGTGTGGTGGATTTACGAGCCGTTTGTGGGAGCTACTCAGTTCCACTTGCGTCCATCTGACCCGTCGCCGTCCTGTCTCCAGGCTTCAGCGGCGACTACAGCGAGTACTTTGGCCTGGGCACTGACACCGAGTCGCTGGTGTACCTGATGCTGGCCAACCACATGACGCACACGCTGTACCCGGAGTCCACCACCGTCGCTGAGGTACGGAGGTCCTGACCGCCCACACCCGGCCAGAGCTCAGTTATTCGTCGAACTGATATGTTGAGTTTCCATTCGTCATTCACACGGTGACGTTGTATTCTGGTACTAACGTGTGTCCATGGGTTTGTGCATCCCACCCGTCTCATTGTTTTTCCTTTTTGTACCCAACCTACAATTCATGTGGGACGTAGCTGTGTCTGTAGCTCCAGCCTGTAAACCTGTTCGTTTACTGTCCTGTAGCCAACAGTCTTTGTCCCTGTGAATTTACTAACCTGTCTGCTCTGTTCTCCGCACACAGGATGTGTCGGGCATGCCGGCGCTCTGCTGTCCGGTCGAGATGGGCGGCACCGGCTTCGACTACCGGCTGGGCATGGCCATCCCGGACAAGTGGATCGAGATGCTGAAGGAGTACTCGGACGAAAACTGGAACATCGGCAACCTCGTGCACACGCTCACCAACCGGCGCTGGCTGGAGAAGACGATCGCCTACGCCGAGTCGCACGACCAGGTGGGAGCTCGCAGCGGGAATGGGGGACATATCGAGTCGGAGGTATCCATTCTACAGGGGCTGGCTCATCGTTACAATACCTGTGTAATGTGTATTGGGGAGCGGGGGAGGGGGGGTTAAGTGTGAACGTCTTTTCATTTATTTGACTTGTAGGACATGACTCGTGTTGGCGATGTATGACTCATAATAAGTATGCGATTCTCGCCTCAAATGCCTAGGGCTAGCTGTCATTGATCGGTTATCTACGTCGTTGACCGCCCGAACGTTCCCCTGCGCCACAGGCTCTGGTCGGCGACAAGACGATAGCGTTCTGGCTGATGGACAAGGAGATGTACACGCACATGTCGACGCTGAGCCCTCCCAGCCTGGTGATCGATCGCGGGATCCAGCTGCACAAGATGATCCGGCTGCTGACGCACTCGCTGGGCGGAGAGGCCTACCTCAACTTCAGCGGTCAGTGGGGACCTCTGCCCGTCCGTCCTGTCTGCCGCGGTACTGGTTCCCTGGTTATTGGTCCTGTCTTGTGACCCATCGTTCCCTGGCCACTCAACCTGCACTTTGACCGATCGGCCTGTGGGATTTGTGCTGCTGGGTCCCAGTTGTGGGGACTCTTTGGCAGTTGGCAGGTCTGTTTTTCAGCTGTTAAACTGTCATTTGCCGGATGCATACGTGTTACAACCGGCGTATTCCTCCCTCCTCACCTCTGATCAAAGCAGGAGATGCATTTGGCATGCCTACCCCCTCCGTACCCTCATAGGGATGAAGTTTTACCGGTACTCTAACCCCCTAACCCCGTCTCCCCCTCCAACAGGCAACGAGTTCGGTCACCCGGAGTGGCTCGATTTCCCCCGGATCGGCAACAACGACTCGTACCACTACGCCCGGCGGCAGTACAACCTGGTGGACGACCAGCTGCTGCGCTACCGCATGCTCAACGACTTTGACGCAGCCATGAACCACCTGGAGGAGAAGTACGGCTGGCTGCACTCCGATCCGGTGAGCGGGCGACCGCGGGATAGCGGGAGACTCAAACACTGTCGGGTCTCAAAGGCTCAACCTGTCGGGCTTGATTAATATGGGCTATACTCGAAACTTAATACTATTTTTCATTTGTATAGTTCGGCAATACATTATTTATTATGAGACCGAAGTTCCTTATATCTATGATCTAATCAACATTGTTGATGGACCAATGAAGATTGGTGATGAATCAATAACACCGCTGTGCTGACTGGATCCGAACTTACCCTGCCCGTGTCTGACCTCTTCCTGTCCCCACAGCCCTAACCTGGTCCCCTGTCCTCTGTCCTTCCCGTCCTCACAACCCTGACCTGGCCCCCCTGTCCTCTGTCCTTCCCGTCCTCACAACCCTGACCTGGCCCCCCTGTCCTCTGTCCTTCCCGTCCTCACAACCCTGACCTGGCCCCCCTGTCCTCTGTCCTTCCCGTCCTCACAGCCCTGACCTGGCCCCCCTGTCCTCTGTCCTTCCCGTCCTCACAACCAGGGGTGTCGATTTTTCAAAATGGTTGGGGGTGCTCAACCCCTGCACCGGGTGAAAGATTGTAGCTTTGCCATGGGGCACAACCGTACCTACAAGGCATGGTTGTGTATCCCCATAAGGTACTGATAATCCCGGGATTTCCACTAATATTTCCCAAAGGTTGAACGTTCTTCAAAATCATTCTGCTCGTCCTAGTACTTGGCTACCTCATTACATAAACATCTTTCCGAAAAAAAAACGCGTACATTTGCCGGCAGCTCGACAGCAGCACCGACACCTCTGTAATAAGGTGACAGAAACCGATGACCGCGATTAGCACCGGTGCAGCAGCCCCTGCGGTCCGCAGGGGCGGACATTGCGCGGGAGGCAACGGTATAGCTACGAGGCTCTGGCGTTTATCAGACGATCACAATAATCGCTGAAAAAAATAACAGGTGATTGCAATTCGATATTTATGGGTTTACGATTTTCCTCAGTGGCGTAGCCAGGTGGGCCCGTGAGCCCCCCCCCCCGCCCCATCAGGTTCAGGGGCCCATCGGATTATTCGAGCCTGAGGGGCACTGCGGCGCCAATTGGCCACTGAGGGTCCACGTTGGCTATATTTGGATTCAGAAGGGCCCCACAGGGCTCGTAAGAACACTTCATGGGCCCAAAAGTACTAACATTAAGATCTCCATAAGGGCCCCAAACCAGCCTCTGAGGGCCACTTGCCGGCCTCTGGGGGTCTTAACCGGCCTCTACGGGGCCAGCTCTAGGAGCTGCACACCCGCCTGTAATGGCCCCACACCCATTTCTCTGAGGGCCCCTATAACGGCGACTGTGAGGGCCCTCACCGGCGCCCCTGAGCGCCACACCGGCGTCTCTGAGGGCCCCACACCCCTAACTCTGAGGCCCTATACCAATGCCTTTAAAAACCCTATCATGGGCGGTTCTGAGGGCCCTTGACAGTTACCAGCGACCCTGACGGCCCCACACAGGTGACACGGAGGGTCCCAGCGGCGTCTGAGCGCACCATGCCAGTCTCTGAGAACCCCACAAGGCTCCTGAAGGCACCGGTGACCTCTTGATATCTTCTTGTCGGCCTATGAAGGATCCGTTCCGTAACAGCAGTTCTGAGGGCCCAACGCGCGCCTGTGATGGCCCTAAACCAGTGTCTCTGAGAGCCCCCACACCGGCGCCTCCAGTCCGAGGGCCCCACATTGCCATATCTGAGGGCCCCACACTAGTGCCTCTTAAGGCCCTATATCGGCGGCTCTGAGGGCCCAACATCGTAGCTTCTGAAGGCCCCACAAGTGCGCATGTGATGGCCACCCTGCCACCGGTGACATTTGAAGGCCCCACACCGGCGACTCTGAGGGCCCCATCAGCGCCTGAGCCCGTTCCGGTCTCTAAAGATGACCCCACAGGGTTTCTGAAGGTACATACCACCGGCCTCTGATGACCCTTTGCCGGCCTCTGAGGGCCCGTCGCCGGTCTCTGGAGCCCCCTGCCGGCTTGTAAAGGGTACGCGCCAGCAGCTCTAAGGGTCTGACACCCGGGTACGACGGACCCACACCATCTTTGCAACTTAACGTTTTTTTTCGCCCTTCTTCTTAAATCTAAATTTTCTTTTCTTTACATCTTTATTTCATGCCTTGTAAATTGCGTAATTGTTTTATTTTTAGTAGTGAACTACTGCAGAACAATTATTTTCCTCAAGCAGAGTTATTGAGGGACAAAACCATTGGGGGTGCCCCGAAAACCATTGGGGGTGCTCATTTGAGCATTGGGGGTGCTGCAGCACCCCCAAAGGTATACAAATCGACACCCATGCTCACAACCCTGACCTGGCCCCCCTGTCCTCTGTCCTTCCCGTCCTCACAACCCTGACCTGGCCCCCCTGTCCTCTGTCCTTCCCGTCCTCACAACCCTGACCTGGCCCCCCTGTCCTCTGTCCTTCCCGTCCTCACAACCCTGACCTGGCCCCCCTGTCCTCTGTCCTTCCCGTCCTCACAACCCTGACCTGGCCCCCCTGTCCTCTGTCCTTCCCGTCCTCACAGCCCTAACCTGGTCCCCATATCCTCTCTCCTTCCCGTCCTCACAGCCGGCCTAACCTGGTCCCCATATCCTCTCTCCTTCCGGTCCGTGTCCGCAGTTCTCCACGGGTCGTGTGACGGACCCAACCGACCTCCACTGGCCCGTCTACGCCCAGGTGAGCCCGCCGGTCTCCGCGGCGGCGCCAGGTGCATTACATCTTCACCGACTGTTACCCGGTGTAGCCAGGCATCCATATGGCCCGCGTACGAGTAGCTGAAGCTCATCCCTGCTGGTGCCTGAATATCCTGAAAAGTTGAATATTCGTCCTCGTTTATCCCACTTTCATTTTGCCTCCAGATATTATCAGGCATGTTATCCTTTTTGGACGCATTGGTTGTGTTCGGATCAGATAGCTCAACCAACTAAATGTCATGGTTGCAAAAGATAACTCCTAACTGTCCAGCAGACGTCGTGTCCTAGTCATTGTCTGACATCTTTCCCTGTCCAGGCATTCTTTAATATCCGTACACCAGCCCTCTCTCCTTACATCAATCCGTCCGTTTCCTTACGCCTATATCACCACCATTGACATCCACCGCGCATCCCGGCAGGCGTACGTCAGCTGCAAACACGAGGATGACAAGGTGATCGTACACGACCGCGCCGGCCTGGTGTTCGCCTTCAACTTCCACGCGAGCAAGTCGTTCACCGGCTACAAGGTGGGTGCCGAGCCGCGGGCGGGGTTGGTCGGTTGGAGTTTAGCCGGCCCCGGGGCTGGAAGGCCGTGTTGTGTGTGAAATGGTGCTGGGCGAACTGTATGTAGCGAACGTAGTAGGCTGATTGGAACGGTAAAGGCAAGCTTGTGCACAATATGAAGCGCAGGAATCTTTCCAAACGATGCAGACTGGCCGGCTGCGTGCAGTGGGGCGTTTTGGTCTGTCTCAAACGGTACACGCTGAGCAGTAAAGGGTCCGTGCACTATGCCGTTTGGGTTGTATCCTCCGATGAGAGGCAGCTGGGACCGGTCGGTCTGACGCTCCCCCCCCCCCTCCCCCTGCGTAGGTGGGTGTGGACCGGTCTGACTCCCTCCCACAAGTAGGTACGGACTAGTCTGACCCCTCCCCCCCCCCCCCACAGGCGGGTGTGGACCAGTCTACCCCTCACAGTTTGATGTGGACTAGTCTGACCGCCCCCTCCACAGGCTGTTGTGAACCAATCTGCCTCCCTCCCCCAGGTTGGTGTGGACTAGTCTGACCGTCCCCCCTCCCCCTCCCCCTTACAGGTGGGAGTGGACCAGCCGGGCTGCTACCGCGTCGTGCTCGACACGGACCGGGAGGAGTTTGGCGGACACAACCGGGTCGACCCCGAGGCCAAGTACCACACCATGAACGAAGGATTCAACGGACGCCGTTACTCGATGCTTGTAAGTACCACCCGGGATTAGGGGCGATCGTTCACGGGACAGGCTGGCGAATGAAGGGTGACCGGTGTTTTTGACGTGATGTTTTTACGCTTTTACGTTTTTACCGATGTTTTTTTACGCGGTCTGGCTAATCGCTCACAGTATTTTAGCTGATGAGGGGCCCAGCGCTGTGAGCAAGGGACAATGAGGAGAGGAGAAGCTCCAGTGGGGCCTGCTGACCACGGTACAGGTCGTCTGAGATGAAAATAATGACTAAAACCAAACTAATGCTAGCTCAAGAATTACGTTAAAACTGCATTGCACGTAGTTTTTTAACTTTAAGTTGGATAGTGTATCACCCTGTCTGCCCGATGTCCCTTTTCCTGGTTTCATTGTCAATTATCGCAAATTATGTGCAAATTATGTGCAACATAATTATATATATATATATATATATATATATATATATATATATATATATATATATATATATATATGTTGCGGGCCAAGTGCGAAGGCTAGTCCATTCGCAAATGGCCTAGTCCAAGTGCGATAACGCACTTGGACTAGGCCGTTTGCGAATGGACTAGTCCATGTGCGTTATTGCAGTTGGCCTAGGCCGTTTGCGAATGGACGGGCGTTTATGCTCCCAGTCCAAGTGCGAAGTCAGGCCAAGTGCGAAATATCCAGCAAAGTGACGTCAACTTGGCAAGTCAACTTGGCATGTGCAAAGTCCCGTGTGAAATGATGCGTGCAAAGTATTGGTAACTCAACCGGAAAATGCTTACACAGTCATGCTGAGGTCGCCTCTTCTTTACCTCACCCCACCCTTGCGTTCACCCCTTGGAAACATTGTCTGACGATGAATTTCATGAGCCTTGCAATGTAATGGTGAAGTGAAACAAACTCAACTCAAGAACACCCAGATCCAGTGCGAGCCCGGAGCACGGTACTAATGGTCTCCGCACACCACGCGACTCTCCGCTGTTCGAAGGTCATATAAGGGGATATTTGACCTCCCCAGATCCAGATCGGTGGCCGAAGCCTGGCCAGCGGCAACACGTTGCTATAATTTCCGCGTTGTGCAGGGTTCAGCGGAAAGTCGCATCCCGAATGGACCAGGTGTGTGGAGACCTTAACCCAGAGTTGCGCCAGCTCGCAGATCTGCTCCGGAGAACAAACTAAACATATAGACGCAGTGGCGTCGCCACGGATTTTCGACTAGGGGATCTGGTCGGACGGTCAGTCAAAGTAATCCCCACCAAATACTGAAAACTCCTCGGATTTAGACAATTTTATTTTGAGAATGCACCAAAATCGTTTTTAAAATATTTTATTTTATTCTTGATCGATTTTCGTGGCCAAAAGTGTGTGTGTGGTGGGGAGGGGGGGGGGGCGTCGGACCGGCATATTTTCAAGAATGTCTGTGTGTGGGGGGGGGGTCCGGACCCCTCCGACCCCCCCCCCCCCCCGTCGGCGACGCCCCTGCATCGACCAGCGGTGGCCCATTCATTCGGAATCGTACCCCAATCCGAGGATCCATGCTTCCGGCGTCTAAGTGCAACGCCACAAACCCGTCCGTTCGCAAACGGCCTAGGCCATTCGCGAATGGCCGGCCATTCGCAAACGGACTAGTCCGTTTGCAAACGGACCGCCATTCGCAAACGGCCTAGTCCATTCGCGAATGGACTAGTTCGTTCGCAAACGGACTAGCCTTCGCACTTGGCCCGTAACATATACATTATGTGCAAATTATCGCTTGTCTGACCGATACCCCTCCCGCAGGTATACCTGCCGAGCCGGGCGGCGCTGGTGTACGCCCGCTGTGACTGAGACTGACCGACCCCTGTCCGCCGGAGGTGGCGCCAGTAGAACGGTGTGCAATACGAGCGCCCTGCCCGCCACGAGCTGTGTGAATGTGCCTGGCCGGCCGGCCGGGCGGCGACCCGGGCCGGCACAGCCGACCGACTGTGAACGAGCTATGCTGGCCATCAAATGGCTGTGGAGCGGCGCACGCGTCAGTAGAGGCTATTGCTGTTTTATATTTTGTATGCCTATTGGTTTCAGATCTGAAAATGTTGTTAACACGTTATGATTTAGAAGTTTTTGGTTATGTAGATTTTAAACTGTCTTCTCAGGACGTGTTGCTGATACTCTGCCTGCTTAGGGAGCCATATATACGAATAAATTGCTGGGCAATTATTACGAGTTTGTTCAAACGAGATTATATGGGCATAATAGCGTTTATTAGAGGGATGTCCGACGTGGCATGATGCGACTTACGAGTGATCAGTTTGATTGGTTCTGAATTCCTTCGATTGGCACGGAATGTCTTTGATAGGGTCGGGATCCGACCGCTCGCTACAAGCGTTTTTCCTCTGTGACGTGTTTCCTTATCGCTCTTCAACTCAAGTTGCCGGCTTAGTTTGTTCTATTTATGGTATAGCCATGGACACCAAATCGATGACTGATTCAGTTTACATCTATCCTTGCACCTATCCTGAGAAGTTGGTGCACCTAATGTGGATCGGCTATTTCGGGATTCGGTTGGGCACCGCTTGCCAGGGCTCATGGATGGATTCTGCCGTCGCTCAAAACGGGTTACACTGCTCCGAAAGGGTCACAGAGCGCACTTCCCTCACAACACTTCCTCCTTCCCTACCCGAATCCCTTGGTCGCGGCTGCCGAAACCTGAGAGTGGAGTTTTGGGTTGTCTGTGTGGATCCGGCGAGTAAAGTTTGTGACTTGTGACTTTTTAGTTGAAGCTCTGACGGCGTGTAGTTTTTTTAGCCGAACAATCAACGAATGAACTATCGTAGTTTGTGAGCTGCATTACTGCCGTGGCTTATAGTTTTAGTATGAGTGAAGACAGAGTCGGTCTGTGTATTTTCAAGTACTGCCGGTCGGCGTCCGCTGCGATAGAGGACGGCGTCGTCGCTCGATCGGAAGGTACTGTCTGTCATGACGAGCTCCGATAGGCGTCCGACACAATGGTAGCTCATAGAACTCCTATCGGCGGCGGCCCCGCCCGTGCCGGCTCCTCTCCGATAGGGAGGCCGCTGCTGTGATAGCGACACACGGCGGCGCCGGACGACACACAGTGTCTCGAGTGGCCGTCACTGCTGACGGCTGGCCTCAGCGGTCGGCGAGTCCCAGAGGAAGGCTTGGATAGTGTGTGCTGTGGTGACTGAGTTGTGAATGTTGCCGGAGTGGTTGAAAGTGTGGAGTGTTTGGTAGTCGGACGGAGTGTGATTTTATGTGTGGGTGTGGAACAGAACGTGCAGTAGACAGAATGGCTTTATAGGGGAGTGTAAAACAGAAGTGGTGCCTTGTCTGCCGGCAAAGGCTCCTGCGCTGGTGGGTGGCTTCATTGATCTCAGCAAGGAGGAGCGTGTTTCGGCCTGGGACGGACTGGTCTGAGACTGGTGCCCGGACCGTCAGTGATGGAGCGCCCGGCAGGACCACGGCCCGCCGGTACGGCTCGCGTGCAGGCCGTGCCGCGCGGCGCGGACTCGCCGTGCGGCCTGCCGTTCAGTGGACTGAGTCTGGCCTCGGCGGGTCGGCCGGGCCACCAGCCGTCCGGCCCGCCCGTCACTGAGCCTCTCCGGCCGCCGGCGCCGGGCTGGGCCCCGCCGCCGCCGCCGGACCACCACCGCGGCGTGGTGCGCTTCGTGTCCTCCCTGGACAAGCTGCAGCCGAGCGGGCGGGCCGCGCTGGCCGCGCCGCTGCCCCGTCATGTGTCGTTCCCCTCGTACCCAGAGCCGGTGGTCGAGTTCTCACGCTCGGAGGGACACGTGCTGGCCCCGCCGCAGCCGTACGAGCCTCCCCGGCCGCCTGGCGGCGGCGCCGTGCCGCAGCTGCGCGTCACAGAGGACGCTGGCATCGCGCCGAGGCGGCTGTCCTCTGGACCCTCCTACCAGCAGCCGACCTTCTCATCGCTGCAGAAGATTCGAAATCCAACCGAACAGCAGCTGGAGACCGCCGACTGGTTGCTGCACAGGCGCGGGTCCGGGCTGACGGACTCGAGTCGGCGTAACTCGGCCATGGGGGACTCGAGTCGACGCAGCTCCGCCATGGGAGATTCGAGTCGACGCGGTTCGACTATGGGTGACTCGAGTCGGCGCAGTTCCGGACTTGACTCGAGTCGCCGCGGCTCTGCGATGGACTGGAGCCGACGTGAAGCGGGCGGCCGCGGCGCCGGCGGTCTGCTGTGGTCCCAGCGGAGCACCGTCGAGCCCGCCGTGGACGTCACCAACTGTTACGCGAGCGGCCGGCGGCCCAGCCGTCCCGGCTTGCGGGCCAAGGTAGCGCGCAGCGACTTCGGCTCGGCCGACCAGCGAGCGGCTGCCGAGGGAAGGACAGCGGCGCCGGCCGCTCCCAGCTCCGGCACGGACGGTGAGTGACATGCCGCACACAGTCACATTGGGATTGACCCCGGCTTTGGCCCTGATGCTACCGAGTACCGACAGCAGCCACATGGGCTTGGGGAGTCCCGAGTTCTTACCACACCCTACATGGCCCTTGGGCAGCTGCCCGATTCTCTCACTTTCACATTATGGCGAATGACGGCAGCCGTCTTACATATAACGAGAACGAAATTGGACGAGGGGTTGGGCAAGCAGACTTAGAACAACGCTCAGACAGCTGTACCTTTTTGAGGCTCGTAGGCATGGCGAATGACCAAAACGACGCTGTAAAACCTTATTGAACGAAATATGTTTCAATGGACGAAACTTTCGTCAAAATCACATTAGTCCTCACTTGCCGCCTCCTCCACCACCTCCCATTCAATGTGACGATGGCGATGAATCATTAAAAAATAAGTTCCGAGATAGCGGGAAGTCGAATTTCCCGGCTATCGAGGTTAGGCACGATGCTTTCTGATCTAACAGTCTAACAGAGGATGTCACACCTCGTGAGCTACAAAGACTGAAAGAATGACAACAAGTCTACGTAGCCAGTTATTTACACATATTACGTTTACTCAGGGTAACTTTTAAAGGGAGGGAAAGGGGAATTTCCCCCATTCGAAAATTCCGCTCCCCTTTCAAATTGTGCGTGAACGGCTAGGGAGGGAAGGAGGAATTTCCCCCTTTCAAATTTTTTTTTTGAGCCCATTTTCAATCAATTCGCTACTCAGATTCTATAATCATCGTTGATTTTGGAACTTTAGTATAGGATGGCATAGGCGCGGGAGCCGGGGGGGCAGTGGGGGCAGCTTGCCCCCCCAACTCTGGGGCCGTGGGGGCGGTGCCCCCACAGCTTTGAGACGGAATACCACACTTTTTTTGCAAATGTTTTCTTTTTTTGTTGAAAAAGCCGAGGGGTGAAAAATAAGTGGCCTAAAACCGGTGAGAAAACTAAATTTGGGGGTACCCTAGGTTAATCTCTATTATGGTGTGCCCCCCCAGTCGGAAAGTAGTTCCCGCGCCCCTGTAGGATGGTGGTGACGGCATCGAGAAGTTAAAGAGGAGAGGAGAGTAAGAAATAACTACGCAGTACTATACTGTGATCACCGGTGGCCGTTAATGGCAGCCACATGCTAGCCTAGCAGGACATAACTGTCCAGTCCACTAGCCGTTTAATTAAGTTGCGCTCCTTGCCGCAGCCAATGAGCTATAGTGGCGCAGACATTCCCTGTAAGCGGTAATATCCGGTCGTATGTGAAACATCAGCCCGCTGCCTCCGGAAGCTGACTGTCCCTCTGAAGCCGTGTGCGCCGTGTGGAGGCGCTCTCTCGGTCTCCGCGCCCCTGAGTCACGGGCGCGGCACTCGGCGGAGCTGACCGTCACGCACGCACCGTGACGGCTCGTTTCCGACGCGACGGCGAGGAGCGGCGCGCCTCTGCGCCATCTGAGCGCGGCGCCACTGACTCAAAAACACAACACTCCGAGCGCAGCCGCTGTCTCTGAAAACGGCAGTCCGTGGATCTGATTCAGGTCCTATTCAGGAGGACGCAGATGTGACGGCGTCCTAGTGGTTACGAACACGTCTTGTGAATCACAGTGGCAGCCGCAGCGTGTCGCAGTGGTTCCGATGTTACCAATGGTATTCAACTTCGGCCACAGTTTCCTGTTCGTTTAGTCGCCGATTCGACCGGTAACAGCCCCACAATCTCGTGCCATTTGTGGACATTCATGTTGCTTTTTACGATTTGCCTAATTTCGGAAAACGTTTGCTTCTTCCGCATGACTCGCGATGTGATCTGAACTTGCTTGGTGGGTGCGCGAGTTATATAGCTACCTACCAAATTATACACTTCAAGAACTTTCAAAGAGGCCTTTCAAAAAATTTCAGAGGCCTTTCAAAAAAAAACTTTCAAAAAGGCCTCGCAACGCTCGATAAATCCAGTTTTCTTGTACCTATCGGACGAAGTTTAAAAAAAAAAAAAACACTTCCAATTAACCACCGTTTCACTGGTTTGTGGAAATTATCATATTTACTATAATCGTAGAGTCTAACTTTGTACTTGCATGCAAACTATTCAGCATTCATAAATAGTTGAACGAAAAGGTCCTCATTATAAAAGACTATCAATATCTCAAGTGGTTTATCCGTGGCACGAAGTTGTCGAGCTGCTCGATGCTCGTTGCCACGTTGGTGTCGCACCAGGCCGACAGCGGCCGGCCCGTCGGCCATTTGTTCACGGCGCCGGGACGCCGACGGCTGTGGTGACAACTTATACGGCCTTGGTGGTGACGCCGTTGGCAGTGACTGGCGCCGATCGCCGTACATCTGTGTATGTATGTATATCTGAGCCGCGGCGAGCCGATCGGGCGATGATCTCAACCACCAGCTCCGGTTGCAGGCTGCACACAAATGAATGGAAAAAAGCTGCAGGCCGGCCGCCGGCCGACAGGTGGTTTGAATGAGCGGCGCACTCTGCAGCGCACCGCCGACGGGCAACACAAACAATGGCTGGGTTGTAATGAGGCGGCGGCGGCGCGGCGGCCGTGCGCCGACCACGTGTCGTCTCCCGCCGAGATCGACGCAGGAGAGACACCGGAGCGCGCCGCGCGCCGCCGCCCACCGCCGCCGGCTGTTTGTTTTTACCCCCAGTTGTCGGTAAGTGATAGCCGCGATGCTTGTGCCGTCAGGGTTCATGACACTCATGTCCCCATTCATTTCGGTGGCGTTTTTTTCAGCGGCGGAATTAAGGCGCGCGATGCACGTGCCCACTGGCGACGATAAACAGTGACCTC